TGTCTGCTGTCAATACTGCAGTCATTAAATTAATGACAAACATCTGTTGCATTCGTGTTTATTTAATGATATTTAAAAGTACTTGAATATCGGTTGAAATGTTTGGTTTTTTTATTGATGCCAATTGGCCATAATTCACATGGAGAAACGCACCATCGGTCTAAATTAATAACGCACGCATTATGCACGTCGCTACATGAGGCATGCAGTGGGCGATCATTAATATTTCATGTGCACTTCATAGGACGGCCTAAACTTTCCATGTTTCGGCAGAGGAAAACTTACACGGACTGTTTTTCATTCCAGCTCCCAGAAGAGGGAGGAGAGAACTAGTTTATGGAAATGGCACATTTAAAATGCTTTCCATAATTAGTTCAGCTGGGAGGAACGGGTTCTCATATTCAGCGCTGGAAGCTTTTGCCTACTTGGCATTATAAGTGAGACTGAGGCTGCTACATACATACTAATTGAGCAATGAGACAGAAATATGGATGGTCCAGCTACTGGCAAGAGCAATGTCATGTTGTTCCTCATCTTCGCTGCTCTTCTAAGGGAATATTGGAAATGTATTTCCCTCATGCTCAGCTCACTCCCATTGATTTGCCATGCGACCGCCAATGAAACAAGCGTGTCTTTGACTAATAGTACAAGAATCAGTGCTGCCGTCAGTTTGTACTGTTGTATTTTTACTTCAAGCGCTGTGAAAATCTGCTGAGCGCACCTTATTATCCTCCTTAGATGTTCCACAATCGTTTAATAGGTTTTATCAGACTCGTTAATGGGCCGAAGGAGAGGTGCAGATCTTCAGTTCCTGCGAGACGAGGCACTATTTCTGTTCTTTTGAAATGATTCTATTAGGCTGAATTTAGTGCGACGTATTGTGTTTGTCATGTTTTTGAGGAAAGGTTCAACGTGCTCTTTGGAGGTAGAAAAGAAAAAGTTACGCAGACATTCAGAACGAGTAGGTGGTGCCAGATTGTTTGAACTGAAGCTCGACTGGCATCCGAAGCAAAATACAAGGAATTTCAGAGCTGGTGTGAGGATGTTTATTCAACACTTCAATGAGCATATGAGATGAGTTGCTATTGAGTTCGGCTTAATTTTGCAATAAGCATACTGTTTATTCACTCAGAAATATGCTTTGATCTCGATTCCAGTGAAAAATCCATTCCAAACCGGTTTTTAAATCTTGTAGAGCATATAAGATGGTGTGAACAATGTTCTCTTTTCTATGGAAAGAATACAAAGTAAAGTGTTATAAAACTGCTTCATGTGACTCGTGTGCTGTATTCTGAAACCATGTGACATATTTGTGTAAGGGACAAAAGGGAATTTCAAAGGGTTGTTCACACCAAAGATGACGAATATACTCAGTTAAAGGATTATTAGTTCACACAATAATTTCTGTCTTTAATTACTCACTACAATAACTATATAGCAATTGACACTAATGGATGGTAACGGATTACTATAAGTGCGTTAAAGGGATAGTTCACCCAAAAATGAAAATTCTGTCATTAATTACTCACCCTCATGTCGTTCCAAACCCGTAAGAAAACTAATTTTGGAAAACAAATTAAGATATTTTTGATGAAATCCGAGAGCTTTCTGACCCTGCATAGATAGCAACACAATTGCCAGAAAGGGTGTAAGGACATTGTTAAATGTCCCCTGAAATGCTTAGAAACACACAGCGTTACTCTGTGTTGACGTAATTGGAACTGAAACAGGAAGACAGGGAGGGACATATAAAGCAGCCCCGCCCCTTTTTAAAATAGCCAATAGCGTTCGTTTATATCAAAGCTTGGGCTAGAGCTGTTGAGCTCCGTAAAGCGTAATTGACAGAGTATGCCAGCCACAATCTCATCCATATTGCTATAAAATACAGCATTCTGTGTAGAATTCAAATAGCTCTGATACATTTTGTGGTCTGCGCAGACTCACACATGTGATCCGCTCTATGCTATCGTGTCTCTGGACCGGAGCAGAGTGTGTGTGCGGTGCGGTGGTTAGCGTGACAGCGCCAAACCAGACTTCTTTCTTTCCTCAATGGAGAGCATATTTACACTGTTTGAATCATTCCCTGTCCCCTATATAGTGCACTACGTGCCATTCACTGTACAGAAAATACTAATTCTGTGGACAAGTGACCGATTTCAGCCGTGGCTTTAGAGTCTATTTTATAGTGTAGGGTGCAGGCGCTTCGGATTCTAGAGAGCATTTGATTGGACAGAAAGTTTGATGAGAAGCTGAAATACGATGTGACCTCAAAAAAGTGACGAACTGCAAGCTTTGAATGCTTATATCTTCTAAATGCCAATTTTGTCACTGTTTTGGAGCACACTGCCTTATAGATAACCTTAAGACTTTTGATACTAACTTTAATTTCATGGAGACTTTAAAATAGTACATGTGATCAACTGTTATTTTATGAAGCTACAAGAATATTTTTTGTGCACAAAGAAAACAGCTTTTTTTCCCAGCTTTTGCATAACAAAAACATTGACAGCCAATCAGAATCCACCAGCTTTGAAGAGCTCAAGCATTTAAAGTGGCAGATGACAAAACTGCAGCGTGCGTTTATAATAAGCAGACCGTTACTGTGCGTTTTTAACATATGCTATACAGTTTTTCGTGGTGTGAATGGCCTTTAGTCTCAGTTCACAGAAAATCTCTCAAAAATCATGCACACTTTGTTTGCTTGAAACATGCACGAACCAATCATTGACATCAAACATCTTTGTGTCATTTTTGCTAAATCAATTCCAGAACCAAGGCAGAGTACGATTTTCTGTGTCTTGCATTTCTCAAAGAATGCTTCAGAATAAAGCAAATGAGTAATATGAACTACTTCCTGGAGCTTTTTGGTCATTTTCAATGCTTTACAGCCCATGGACATTGTATGGGAAAAGTGCAGCTAGGACATTCTTCAGAGTTTCTCATTTCGTGCTCCACCTGGCAAAGAAAGTCATGCGGCTTTTGATCAACATGAGGGCGGGTATAAATGACAGCATTTTCATTCCCGTCTCAACTAATCCCTCAAAAACGTCTCCATCTCTATCAGCGCCTCTGTCATCTTACCCCAGCTTTTGCATAATAAAAACATTGACAGCCAATCAGAATCCACCAGCTTTGAAGAGCTCAAGCATTTAAAGTGGCAGATGACAAAACTGCAGCGTGCGTTTATAATAAGCAGACCGTTACTGTGCGTTTTTACATATGCTATACAGTTTTTCGTGGTGTGAATGGCCTTTAGTCTCAGTTCACAGAAAATCTCTCAAAAATCATGCACGAACCAATCATTGACATCAAACATCTTTGTGTCATTTTTGCTAAATCAATTCCAGAACCAAGGCAGAGTACGATTTTCTGTGTCTTGCATTTCTCAAAGAATGCTTCAGAATAAAGCAAATGAGTAATATGAACTACTTCCTGGAGCTTTTTGGTCATTTTCAATGCTTTACAGCCCATGGACATTGTATGGGAAAAGTGCAGCTAGGACATTCTTCAGAGTTTCTCATTTCGTGCTCCACCTGGCAAAGAAAGTCATGCGGCTTTTGATCAACATGAGGGCGGGTATAAATGACAGCATTTTCATTCCCGTCTCAACTAATCCCTCAAAAACGTCTCCATCTCTATCAGCGCCTCTGTCATCTTATTAAAGTCCTCAGCGGTGAGATTGAGTTTTATTGCCGTCTCAGCCCTCAGACTTATTAAGAAGAATAGCCTCTTTCTCAAACGCCTGGGCTCAGGGAGCAAGCTGCCCTTTTAGCACACAAACCCGTCTGCTGTGGAGGAAACCGAATCTGGTCTCAGCTGAGCGTGAAAGGGCATCGAAAAAAATAGCCATACAAACAAACAAAAAAAGGCCAGTCTGACTTCAGTAGACCTGTCAGCACTGTGAGAGCACAGCGGTATTTCCAGTTCTCTCCAAAGGCTGTCTGGTAAATCAGTACCTGATATCCCGGCTCTCACGGAGGATGTTTAGATATAAAAAGCATCTCTTGTGAGCTTTTGTTAACTGAACTCAACATTTCACACCCCACGTTAAATGCAGAAAACTCCCTACTGCCCCCTGTCTGCACTTCATAGCACAACAACAAAGCTTTAAAGGGGTCATATGATGCGATTTCAAGTTTTCCTTTCTCTTTGGAGTGTTACAAGCTGATTGTGCATAGATAAGATCCCTGAAGTTGCAAAGACTAAAGTCTCAAAACCAAAGAGTTATTCTTTATCAAAGTTAAGACTCTGCCACGCCCCTAAAACGGCTCGTTCTGTGAAAGGGCATCGAAAAAAATAGCCATACAAACAAACAAAAAAAGGCCAGTCTGACTTCAGTAGACCTGTCAGCACTGTGAGAGCACAGCGGTATTTCCAGTTCTCTCCAAAGGCTGTCTAGTAAATCAGTACCTGATATCCCGGCTCTCACGGAGGATGTTTAGATATAAAAAGCATCTCTTGTGAGCTTTTGTTAACTGAACTCAACATTTCACACCCCATGTTAAATGCAGAAAACTCCCTACTGCCCCCTGTCTGCACTTCATAGCACAACAACAAAGCTTTAAAGGGTGAGATGAGGGGGGGGGGTCACGGGGTCACATCACAGTGGAGTCAGCTGTCTTAACCGTGGCTTGTGTACTGCAAACACTACCAGCTTCATCACTGTGTCTGTCACATGAATCTGTTCCCCTTTCGGGCTCTGTATTTACATTTATTTTGAAAGATGAAGCTCGCGATTATGGTAAGGGGGGTTACATTTCCGACGAGTACTTGCGGTGTTCGGCCAATCACAATGCACTGGGTCAGCTGGCCAATCAGAGCAGACTGCGCTTGTCAGAAGGAGGGACTTTGTAGAAAGCGAAGCATTTGAGAGAGGCGGGGCATAGAGGACCTACAATAATGTACAGTATTTGAAAAAGAATGTGTTTTTTGAACATTAAAGCATGTCAACATATTCTGTTACACCAAATACACAAAATAATGATCTTTAAAAAAGCATCATATGACCCCTTTAAGACATCTGACAACAATGGAAAGCCAATTAGAATGCAAATATCACTTCAAAATGTGAATCACTTTTTTTCCCCATGTGTGATCTTTATTAAACGTCCACTTTAATGTCTTTGCATTTGCTTTTACGAGTCATTTTTATGAACACGCACTCTCACTATCAAACCAAAATAGAACATAAAAAAGATACAACAACAGAAGAATAAATTAACCTCTCAATTCACTGTCATTTCTTTAGAAAAACTAAAAAAGTAATTTCCATCTCAGAACACACAACAAATAAAGGACATCTAACAAAGAGATCTGCCAGTATGGAAAGCCAGAATGGCGTTGGGAGCCAGAATGTGTTCCAAAGCAATCGGACAGACGTTTGGCACTCCACACTCGGAGCTCCTGATAGGAAGCTACTCCGGAACTTGATTAGCTTGAGAAGCCGGCTGATGGCCTGACTGATGTAAATGGACGTGAGCGCACTACAGAGAGATAATCAGGCGTGGAGTTGGAAGTCGGAGAAGTGAGAATATTTTTCTGTAATTTAAGATTTTCCCAGGGGAGACAGACAGACATGCTGGGAGAGGTGAGACACGAGACGACACGTTGATGGACAGACAGAATTCTCATGTTGAAAATTGTCAGATTCGAGCAGACCGAGGTGACAGACAAAAGCCAGAAGGGACGACTGAGATGGCTCTGCTACACATTACAGATGGGTTTCCTACAGCGAGATAAGGCCTAAACGTGTTTTTGTGTGGGAAATTGGCTAAATCTGAGTGTAGGAACCCGTCGCTACCCGCACTACAATCGGATACGAGTCCGGTTTACCTGAAAATACTGCGAGTATGTCGATGACTAAACTGATCTAGGTCTTGAAATTAAATACCTGCTCAAACCTACATATAATATGACAAAGTATAAATGCACATTCTGCGGCGTGTTACTATGCCAGACACGATCAAAATGGTACAAATAACAAAAATGTGTTGAGGATAATCCACAGCTAGCTTATTAAGAAGCAGCTTTATTTATTAACACGGTGGATAAAGATTGTAAACGTCAGCTCTCGTCGCGTGATTTGAGCCAGACCAATGAAAGATCTATCCGAAGACCCGACCGCTGCTGGATCACAGATGTCGTCTTCTGTCAGCGAAGAGTCGGGAGCCATTCTAAAAAGAAAGAGATCTGTAAATGGCGTGTCTGTTACAACACTGACAGCCTTCGCAGGCCAAGCTGGATGATTGACATTCATAGAAAAATAAAACATGCGGCCGCCGAGCGTAGGCAGAACCGTCCACAGCAGAGATAAAGAAATAAAAGAACTGCGTGAGCTCAAACGACAATGACACGGATTCAAGCGTAGCTTCCAAGGCCTTAGGAATAACAAATAAAATGGAGAAACAAAGCGTCACATATTGCACTGAGTCCCACAATTTTGTATAGATCCAGTTGTGTATGTAGCTTTTGAGTTAATTACATACAGTACGAACTCCAGGGATGGATGAATGAATTAATGAGAAAATTAATGCGAAACTGTCAGCAGTTCCAGTCAAAGACAAAAGGGAAAACAATAGAGCTCAAAAAACAACGGTCGGCACTGCTGGAATAAAAAGATGTTCACCAATTAGTTCTCTGCCTGATCAAATCTCTCTGAAAAGTAAAAACGCACACGGACATTCTTATCTCAGCACCCGGGCCGGCTACCAAATCTGACTTCGGCTGGAACGTTCTCATCCTTGAGTCTTTATTTCCCATTCGTGTTGATTCAGATACATTAAGTCTGGATAAACAATCTCCATAAGAGTCCTCTGCTCATCCAGCTGTGGTTCTCTGCTGTAGCACAGGTTCCAAGGGTCCACACGGAGAGCCCGGTTCTGGTGCAACATCGTTCTAGCACAGCTTGAGCTTGTAGGCGGAGATCTCCATTGGCTCCAGATTGATGGAGGAGTCGTTGGAGAGCGGAGGCTGAGAGTGCATCAGAGACAGAGACATGGGCTGCAGGAGCTGAAGATCTAGCCCACGGAACAGCCCGGAAATGGAGAGCTGGGAAGACAGATCAGAGACTGATTCAGAATGACTAAAAATAGACTTTATCAGACCTGCATGCATCCACACAGTTTAGACCTGTTCAAATGAAGTGAAACATGACTACAACGCAAAAGTATCAAATACTCACTTAGAAATAGTATGGTAATATTTTCAAATCAATGTGAACAAAACATTTAGATACCTAAACTAATTGTATATACTCATATATTGTATACAAATATATATGTGTGTGTGTGTGTGTGTGTGTGTGTGTGTGTGTGTGAGAGAGAGAGAGAGAGAGATAAACAGCTAAAATTACTAAGTGGAAAAAATTAACTAAAATGAAAAAAACAAATTAAACTTAAATAGTAATATATAAAAATAACTAAAAATGACAAAATAAAATTACTAAAAATGAAACTAATTACAATGAAAACTGAAAATATAAAACTAAAAGCAAATTCAAAATATTAATAAAAACGATAACAGTATATAAATAATGCTAAAACACTGACATTTTAACACTAGAATTTTATAAATAATCATATATATATATACACACATACATACACACATTATTCATTTATAAAATATTTCTATTGTTAATAATAGTGTTAAATTATGTCAGTGATGTTTTAGTATTATTTCTATACTATTATCGCTTTTATGGATATTTTGAATTTGCTTTATATATATATATATATATATATATATATATACACACACACACACACACATATACATTTATTTTTATTTTTTATGGCTTTGGCCAAAAAATGTGTAAATTCTGGTGTTTTGTTTTTATTCAAAGGTACTTAAGACTGATTTTCCTCACGATCCTCTTGTTGCAATGTTGGGACGGGCCCCTTTTCTGGAGTCCTATAATTCTGATCAAATCCAGACAGTTCAATACAGAATGACAATAGCAAAGAAGACAATTTTGTTCATGTGGAACAAAGAATTTGTAACTAAATTTGAGACGTGGCTTAGAGAGTTCAGCAATGTGTTACATATGGAAAAGATGAGATGTGAGATTTGGAAGTTGTTCTTTGAATATGTGCAAGGTGACCATTGATAACTGTATTTAACTATCTGGACACATACTTTAAATTTTATAAAGTGTAGCAATGTGTCACAATTCTGGTTTTCCATAATTGGGTAACCATTGGTATTGGTATATTTTATTAAGGATTTATTTATTTATATATTTTTCACATATTTTTTTGTATGTGTATATATACACACATGTATGGATGTTGTACGTTTATGGGTGTATATACGTATATACTTCTGCATGTGTGTGTGTGTGTGCATATGTATGTGTTTATGCATTGCATCATTATTATTGGCCCTTTTGTTGACTTGCAGGCATGAGGTGGGGGATTGTTCCATAAAATGTGAAAAGCTTTAAATAAAATATTTTTAAAAAAGACAAAGGCACATAAAATGACTAAAAATGAAATTAATTAAAATGAAAACTGAAAATAAAAGCAAATTCAAAATATTCATAAAAACGAGAATAGTAAATATAAATAACACTAAAACAACAATGACATTTTAACACTAGAAATATTTTATAAATGAATAAGTAACACACAACACACACACACATAAATTAAAAAGTAAATGAATAATGTTTATGATATGTTCACCCCCCCCCCCAAACACATTTGTCACTTTTTAAGTCTTATTAGTGAAAGTAGTTTATTTTGGGGTGGGGGGTTTTCAAGTCAAGACACTGACCTGGCCTTGTGTGGTGGTACAGTTGAAACCAGGGTTCTGGTCCTCCAGACCACAATCCAGGGCCAGTCGATGGAGGAGCAGAGCCGTGTAGGGAGATGGAGAGTGAGCGTCCTGCTGAGAAAATGAAATGATACCAAATAAATGCCAGTGAAAATAAATCCCCCTCTAAACACCCAGACCACAAAATCTCAAACACTTGAAATGTGAAAGTTTTTTTCCCAATTACGAACTCTAAGTCCTCATCAGTTTCACAGCAGGCGAAATCGACACTGACACACATTTTTCTCCCACGGCTCTCATTTACCAGGCTTTGGATGCTCCTGAGGTTCAGCAGGTGGAAGTCGCAGGGCAGGGTGCCAGCCAATGGAGCGAAGGTACGCACGGACGGCACGCCGTGTTTCCAGGGCAACACGGGCAGTGCCAGCACCTCATGGTTCAGGATGGTGGAGGTCATGTGACTGAGCAGCGACGGGAAGCTGACTGGTCTGCTGTCCACCGGCTGGAAGATACAGACATGTATCAGGTAACCTTTTAGGGTCACGATATGAGATGAGCTCAGTACAGATTCTGCCTCTACATACTACTGATCTACAGCCCGTTATCATATAAAAGGTTTGGGGGCACGGCAGCACAGGTAGAGATAGCGGACAGGAAACCACCTTTGGCCTCTTAATCCAGGTGGAAACCTGTCGCTTGTTGCTATGGTAACAAGCTGAACTAGGGCTCCACAAAACTGCTACGGCGCTACTCTCCACCACTGCAATAATGTTACCTCTTCCTGGCCGTCTCCTAAAACACCAGAAATTATTTTGTTTATCATGTTGGTGAATCTGGCATAGGAGCCAGCAGGCTGCATGCACGAGGAGAGAAAGACAGGATGATAAGTGATAGATAGACAGACAAGAACAAAAAACAAAAAGAGGTTATGATATGTATAAGGGGGGGGGCATGATGAACTGGAATGGAAAGAAACACAAGGGGGCACTTTGTTAATGCCTATATATATATATATGTCCTATATATATATACACATAATTATTGCTTTATATATTTTTATTAAGAAATAATTTAATTATTAATATATACTTAATAATACATTTGTAATGCATAATATATAGTGTTCAATATAGGACACTGTATTATTTATAATCTTTCAGGAGATAGCATGATTAAAATAATATATATATATATATTATTTAAATCAGTCTGAGCCTGTGAGTAAAAACTCTGAAGCCCATTATCTATTATTACACACTTGCCAGCTTTTAGACTGGCTGCCGTCTCCTAAAACACCAGAAATGATTTTGTTTATCATGTTGGTGAATCTGGCATAGGAGCCAGCAGGCTGCATGCACGAGGAGAGAAAGACAGGATGATAAGTGATAGATAGACAGACAAGAACAAAAAACAAAAAGAGGTTATGATATGTATAAGGGGGGGCATGATGAACTGGAATGGAAAGAAACACAAGGGGGCACTTTGTTAATGCCTATATATATATATGTCCTATATATATATATACATAATTATTGCTTTATATATTTTTATTAAGAAATAATTTAATTATTAATATATACTTAATAATACATTTGTAATGCATAATATATAGTGTTCAATATAGGACACTGTATTATTTATAATCTTTCAGGAGATAGCATGATTAAAATAATATATATATATATATTATTTAAATCAGTCTGAGCCTGTGAGTAAAAACTCTGAAGCCCATTATCTATTATTACACACTTGCCAGCTTTTAGACTGGCTGGACTCCGAATGATACTGTCCCTAGAGCCTTCACAAAGCTCTGGTGAGTAACAATAGAGAGCCCCCTACAGGACACTGGGTGAAATGAGCATTTACATACCGCTGGCTCTGCTACAGGACACCTATATTTTGGTACATAACAAGATCTCTCATGTGAAGCTGAAATTGCAGGCTCCAATCAGATTAATCAACTGCTATGATTCTCGCCAGTCAGGGCGCGCAGGGTTTTATCAGTCAGCCAGGAAATAAAACCGCATTAAAAACGTAGCAGGCTGCACTTCGGAGAAAAATCTAGTCATGGTTTGTCTCATCTAATACGTAAAATATTTTGAATTTAGCTTGAGGCGTCCAGTAGCATGTAAACTACAGGTATGTTCTTCTTTAAGTGTATAGTTTTATTATTATTGTTATTATTATTATTATTATTATTATTACGGGGGGGGAGAATAAATAATTGAATTTGATTTCATTTGTATAACACAGGTAGTAATTGCCTTACTGAAAGCAATCTGACATGTAAAGCAACCGAAGAAGGTAGTTCTTGGACAGAAAAAGAGTGCACTATTCTAAAGTCTGAAGAACAACTATTCTTGGTTTTTGTCATTAATTCTTCAAATAAATTAATTTTGAGTAGCATGTAAACTATGTTCTGCTTTAAGTGTACAGTTTTATTATTATTATTATTATTACAGGAAACTTTTTAATAAGATGTAGCCCACTCACAAGATTATTTTTACTATAAAATAATTATTTTATCTTAATTTAATTTTTAATTTTGTTCATTTTTTTTAATTTAATTTAATTTGTGTGATAGTCAGGTAGTAATTGTCTGACATGTAAAGCAACCTAGGTCAGAACAAGTGTGTACTAATCTAAAGTCTGAAGAACAACTAGTCTTAGTTTGCCATTTAATTCTTAAAATAAATGTAGTTTAAAATAGCATGTAAACTATGTTCAAATTTTTTTTTTTTTGTATAATTTTTTTTTTATTATAATTACAGAAAACAAAAACAAGACGTGCCCTGGCTCCCAAAATTATATTTTTCTTTAAATAAAAATAAAATAAATCTTAGTTTATTTTAATATTTAATGTATGTGATTGTGTGATTTATTCCTGTCCAAGTAAGTTTTTAGTCAGAATAAGCATTTACAAACCAAAAGTAAACGTTTTTTTTTTTTTATCTAATTCTTTCTAATTCTTGAATCTAATTCTTACAATATATTTAGTTTTGTTTGAGGCACTCAGTAGCAAGTAAACTCTGCTTAAGGTTAGAGCTGTGTTAATTTATAGATTTGTTATAACAACATTTTTCAATTGAATTTTAATTTGCATGATTGGTTGATTTACATGTTTGCCTAAGTAGTCAGAATAAGCATGTACTAAGTTTGACTTTGCTTTGGTTCATTTGTATCCTCGTCCAGTCAGAACTCACCTTTCCACTGCTGCTCCTCCTCTCCAGCAGAAGACGGAAGCGATTGGCCGTTCGTTTGTTGTCCTTAAGGCCCTGCCCCAGACCCCTGTTATCGTCTTGCATCAGTCTGCGGTCCAGGATCACCTCCAGCTGACCTGCAGAGAATGGAAAGAGCGTACGAGGGAAGGATGAAGAGGGACAGGCCGGTAATAGCATAGAGCGAGGCAAAGCATTAGACAGTGCACTCACTTCATCTTCATTATTGGATACATTGCATCAAATCAATACAGAACCAGAGCACAGTGTGCCACTGTTAGTGTTTTCCTCCTCCCTACCGTCTCAGTCCCTGATTCATGTTTCATCCTGCTAAGAAACTCACTGATATAGACCTTAAAAGTAGCAGTATTTTGGTATCAAGTCGATACTGAAATGAAAACAGCATAGCGAGGAGAGTTTTTCTCTGTATTGTCAGCTCAATTAGGTACACAGGTGAAAAAAGTTTGATTCCTACTATGGTAATAGCTCAGCTCATGAATATTAATTAAGACATGCTTGTGTTTCTTAGTAACCTTCCTGAAGCATCTAGTCATGTAACAGAATATTAATAAGCCAATTAGTCAATGTTGTTAAAGTTTATGTAAATAATAATAAAGTAGTGTGTTTAATGGCATTTTAGTTTTGCAACAAAATTTGTATTTAAAAATATATAAACAAAAATACATTTGTATAACAAATACTAACCGATAACCAATATGGTACAATTATATTGTGCAAGAAGTTTCACTGATTTAATGGCAATTTAGTTAAAAAAATAATGAATAAGTAAATAATAATACATTACATTTATATAAAATATATAAATAAATCATGTAACCAAATTAATGTTAATAAGCCAAATAAAAAGTTATTTTTTTAAGATTATGTAAATAACATCCAATTAAAAGTACTGCGTTTAATTGCATTTTAGTTTTTAAAATACAAATAAAATTGCATAAAAATTCAATTGAATTTTAATTAATAAAATGTCTAATACTGGATGTTATTTACATAGACTTGTTTGTTTTTTTGCTACATGAATTATATTTTAAATTGCCATTAAATCAGTGAAACTTACATAGATACAATATAATTGTACCATATACATATAATATAATTGTCATTTATATTGTATGTCAGTATTAAGAGTTTTTTTTTATTATTAAATTACATTTGTATTTTAATTTATTAAAAATACAAATTTTATTGCAAAAGCTAAAACACCATTAAAACGCACTACTTTACTATTATTTACATAAACTTTAGTATTATGTACATAAACCTTAGCCAATATGGTACAATTATACTCTGCAAGAAGTTTCACAAATATAATGGCATTTTATTTTAAAAAGAATAATTATAAAAATACATTTAAAAAAAATATATTTTAAACATCGACCAAATTAATATTTATAAGCCAAATAAAAACTTAGGCTACATGCTGTTATTTTTAAGTTTATGTAAATAACATCCAATTAAAACCAGTGTGTTTAATTCCATTTTAGTTTTTGCACCAAAATTTGTATTAAAGGGGTCATATGATGTGATTTCAATTTTTCCTTTCTCTTTGGAGTGTTACAAGCTCTTGGTGCATAAAGAAGACCTGTAAAGTTGCAAAGACTAAAGTCTCAAAATCCAAAGAGATATTCTCCTTCGTCGAATCCGCCGGCCGTTCCTCACTCTAGCCCCCGGCCTCTGCTCACTGTAGGCCCCCGCCGCTCACTCTAGGCCACCTTGTGTTTCATTTTGAAAGCGGAACTACTTTGTTTGGCCTTCCAAAAATGGACACGACTAGAAATCAGTGGTTAAGTTGTATTTACAACACTGTTCCAGAACACTTCAACCCAAATATTCAGATGTGTGCAGCACATTTTATGGAGGACTGTTTCCTGATCCTGGGGGAGTAGACTACAATGCCGGCTGTTCTGACTCACAGACTGTAAGAAAAGACGAACTAAAAATAAATTTGTGAAAATAATCATGTCATCGACACTACTGCAATATCAGCGTTTGCAAAGCCTACTCACCGCTGGCCAGGCTGCTGACGCCCAGGGCCTGAGCCGTGTAGAGCGTGAGCCGGTATTGGCTGTCCTGAATATATGCCATGGCAGGCATCGGGTAGAAATTAGCCTGCAGTGGAAGTTTCTGGAAGTACCGGCGAGGCTGGATCTGATGAGCAGGGAAAACACAGAGCATTAGCTTGAGTCTAGGACTAACAGTGGTGAACTTTTACTCCATGTCTGTGGACATGTGTACTTCACCTGGAAGCCGTTGAGGTCTGTGTAGAAAGTATCTCCGCTCTGAATGTCGGTAACCAGCCGCATGGCCAGCTCCTTGTTATTCTGATCTCTGATGTCCAGCATGGTGGTGATGTCCAGAGAAAGACCGTCAACTCCTGAAGTGATATGTCAGGAATAACTGATCAGACAGGGCAAGATGTCCTCACACGATCGTGTTTATGGATGGAGGGAGTACCTGGAACATTATGAATGCGGACCGTCTGCTGGAAGTGTTGATAATGTGCCACAACCTCAGCAAAGAGAGGCCCTTCCACCACACGCACTACAGGGGCTTCTCTCTGCGAATACGGCTGAGAGCGAGCAGAAAGGAAGACATTAATTGTTTGGTAAATTGCTTTTCACCCCAGTCAAGACTAACAGACACTACCTTGGCATTTCCGTCCGGCAGGAAGAGATAGGCCCCGCTCTTGTCCTTGGAGGGTCGAGTTCCGTATGTGAGGAACTGAATCTGTACCCTCACCTCCTGGGGATCGTCTTTACGTCGAATGCTCTGATGGAGAAAAGAGCGTGAGAGAAAGAGAATTAATCATTGTAGCCTTATCTGCTGACTCAGACTCTAAAAGAGGACACAACAGCATATGTACTACAAAAATAGGACAGAGATATGTTTCATTTCTTTTGGCAACAATAAGAAAAAAACACTTGTCCAGATGACTGAACACAAAAATAGACTGCTGATGTCATAGCTTGGAAACTTCCTTTTTTATTACCACGAAATATTTGCTCAGTGGAGCTGATTTTCATGTTTTTTTTATGGTATATCAAAAAGTGTATATTTTTTAAATGTGATTGTTGGTACATTTGACCAGTTTTTACCATACTTTCAAAACAAAAATGAAAATAGGAAAAATATGTAATATGACAATAATTGAAGACAAAATGTGTTTTAGTGAGAAAAAACAAGATTTGTTTTTTTAAAAAGCCTTTTTTCAAATGGTACATCTGGAAAAATGGGGGTCGTCTTATAATCAGGGTCGTCTTATATTCGGGCCAATACGGTATTAAAACTCTGGCTGATACCTACAAGCTGATATTTATTATTATAATTCATGTTACGGCAGGTATTATAATTCAGTACTATTTTGCCTATAATTAAAAAATAAATTATTCATGTTATGGCCGATATTATAATTTTGTCTAAAATAAAATTTTATATATATATATATATTAGGGATGTGCGTGACGACTAATTTGACTGTTGTTTTAAACGAAAGTTTTGTATCCGACTAGTCGACTAGTCTAAAAGCAAGAAACCCCCCAAAAAGAAAAAAACCTCTGTGCGTGCGTGTAGCATATACAGTGGGTACGGAAAGTATTCAGACCCCCTTACATTTTTCACTCTTTGTTATATTGCAGCCATTTGCTAAAATCATTTAAGTTAATTTTTTTTCCTCATTAATGTACGCACAGCACCCCATATTGACAGAAAAACACAGAATCGTTGACATTTTTGCAGATTTATTAAAAAAGAAAAACTGAAATATCACATTTTTCCACCATAATTTGCAAATAAATTCTTTAAAAATCCTACAATGTGATTTTCTGGATTTTTTTTTCTCATTTTGTCTCTCATAGTTGAGGTATACCTATGATGAAAATTACAGGCCTCTCTCATCTTTTTAAGTGGGAGAACTTGCACAATTGGTGGCTGACTAAATACTTTTTTGCCCCACTGTATATACATATAAGATATAAGATATAAGTATATTCAGGCATCACAACGTTATAATATACAAAAATGGACATACATTGTGAGATTTCCTGGAGATTAGTTTTAACCATTATTAAATTTATTACATTTATGTTTTATTAAATTTAGTTGTTGTTGTTTTTTTAGTTACTTAATATGAGCTTTAGATGACAAAAAGTTCATTTATACAATATATAATGGCTTATATGCAATATAGAATAATGCCAAATAAATGTTAAAAAAAAATTGAATATTGGCCGATAACTGATATTAAAATTCTATACTATTTTACCATAAATAACAAAACGTACAAATACATAAAAAAAATTATAAACTAAATGCTACAAGTGAATTTAGGCATCACTATAATGTACAGTATACAAAAATTACATTTAACAATATTATTAAATTATTACTACTTTAAAGATTAAGTGAGCTTTGCATGACGGCAAAGGTAATCTAAATGAAAAAATAGAGGAAAAGAGCATGCATAAATAAATATCAGCTGAGATCTATAAATACAATATAGACTGACCATTAAAAATTCCTGATATTGGAAGATAACCTATATATTGCACATCTTTATTTTCTCTATCCATATAAAAACAAACGGGAATTCATTAAGAATGAATTGTGCCGTTGACTGAATCATTTGCATATGCTGTCTGTTTTGTCTTAGCAGTCGATTTACTTAAGGAATTATGCAAATCAGATAACGGTGTATGGTATAAACAAAAGAAAAACAAAGAGGGGAATTAACTCCACTTCCTGGGGCATTTTAGTCACTTTAGCGCCGGTTAATTTCTCACTTCACTTCCTAACAGACAAACTCATCTCACCTCCAGCAGGCCTGTGGTTCCAGAGAAGCCCAGAGTGAGAGACTGGCTCTGGATGTAGAACGGCTGGGCGTCTACCGTCTGCGATCGCACGGGCAGAGGGTCTAAACCCCGTATGCTCTGACCCTGTCCCGGAATCCTGAGCAGCGTATCAGAGCGCAGGGTCATGGGGGAATCAGCAGAGTCATACAGGTGGAAGACAGCCAATCCCAGAGCAGGGAGGCGTGCCATGAAAGAGGCCTGAACGAAAAGACAAGAAAGAGTGTAGGTTTTGAGACTAACTTTCTTTAAGATCCAGGAGCGAATGGACACAAATAGACACACCTGGTAGACCTCTCCACTCATCTCAATGGCAGACACCCACTGCGCGCTCAGCTGAACCGGTAAAGTCTGCCCGTCCTCAGTGAGAACCCTAACTCTCGCCGAATTCACCAGCACAGTCACTACACACAGACGCTCCTGCTCGACGGGGTTAAACAGCACCAGGTACCTGAGGAAGAGGAGGAAGATCGTATCTACACACTGAATAAAATGACAGCATTTGCAGTGTTCAAGATCTACGGATAATACATCTTACCTGGGAGAAGATTCCAGCTCGATAAGAGTACGCTGCGGGAGAGAGTCTTGTGTGGCGCGTCTGTCGTCCTGCAGTCACATGAACAGAGGTCAAAGGTCAGACTCCTAGCTGTCTTTTTCCCAAAAATCTTAGTTAATGTTGGTCACATTGGATTAAAACCTACTGACTTTGTTCACATGGTCAAAAATGGCCAGCCTACCAAAATCGCATATGCATTTCTCATTGTTCGCACGGGTATACTTGTAGCAATAGCCAACAATACATTGTATGGGTCAAAATCAACGATTTTTCTTTGATGCCAAAAATCATTAGGATATTAGGTAAAGATCATGTTCCATGAACATATTTTGTCAATTTCCTACCGCAAATATATAAAAACTTAATTTGATTAGTAATATGCATTGAACTTCATTTGGACAACTTTAAGGTTGATTTTCTCAATATTTAAATTTAATTTTTTTTCACCCTCAGATTCCAGATTTTCAAATAGTAGTATCTCAGCCAAATATTGTCCCATCCTAACAAACCATACATCAATGCTCATTTATTCAGCTTTCAGATGATATAATCTCCTATATGACTGGTTTTGTGCTCCAGGTTCACATATTATTATTATTATCAAATATTGGTTTCAACACAGGTTTTGTATTGAAACTGATTAATTATAGGCCTCATTTATCAAAGCTTATGCACCTGTTTTTGAATTAATATTGCCCAAATTATTGAGAAACAATAAAAGCTCAGATGAAAGAGGCGTGTGATTCATCAGAAATAAAAAACCTGTAGTAATTGAAATGAAGTTGACAGGATTTGGTGATTATATCACATAATGAGAGATTTACAAGCCATTTTTAAAGGGACAGTTCACCCAAAAATGAAAATTCTGTAAAAATTTTAAATTCTTTAAAAGGCTTGTCATTTTTGACTGGGAACGCCAAATAAGGTAAATGATTTTCAGCTCAGCACAAGGGTTAAACACGGTGTGAAAAACCAAGGCTGTTCCTCACCGTCTCTAAGAAAGGCTCCGTCTGGTAGAAGCGATAAATGTCTTTATTCTTTATTACCAGGAAGTGTGCAGCATTAATGATCACTCGTTTCAGACCGACCAGAGAACCTAATAGCCTGGGGAGGGGGGGAGAAACGAATCAAGAACCGCTTACAAATCGAAAGTCGTAAATCAAAACTCTAAAAATGGTCCATTAAAGATGATATTTCATTAATAACACCCTGAGAGACTTCCTTCGATCTTCAGACCAGTTAATGCTGATCAAATCTGCAAGCTTTCATTCAGAGACCTGTTTCCGTAGTCGATGACGACGGCCTCTTTGGCAGTGCCCGTGATGGCATCATGGTGCTGGAACAGCCCTATGTTGCGCCTGGCATCGGTGAGGAGGGAGTAATCTGAGACGGGATAACGTCCTTCCAGTCCCGCACGCCGCGCGTGAGCCACCGCCAAGCTGTAGAGAATCTCTGCCCCTCTACAGCAAACACAAAATCAAACCGTCTTAAATCACAACAGTTCATGACGCTGAACGAACAGTGAGGCTTGACAAAACGAATGATAATAGAATTAAAGACTAAGTAATGACAGTAATTAGGCAATGCCTCGTGCTTAATTCAGGAGAAAAACTTGTCACCCACGTGGAGAATAACTATTTTAATTATTCCCCAGTAATGCCACAAAGAACAGGCCTTTATTCAAAGCATAATTGAATCTCTGGCAAATAAAAACAGACACTTTCCAAAGTTGCTAAAATAATGGATTAAATTCAGATACCTCGACGGCAGTTTGTCAGTGCAAATTTAAATGTGTTGCCAATTAAAAATGAAAAGGCTTCCACAAAACCTTGTTAGCATGCTTCTGACTGAAACAGGGACGCGGAAATAGGGGTGCTGAGGGGGCTGCAGCACCCCCCGTTATCACATGGTTGCAAATGCAACGCCAAGTTTGTTCATTTCAATTTATTCAGTTTTAGCATTTAATAATTTATTTGTAATGATCTCTGAAATGTAAATTGTAAGTGGGCTATAATAAACCCATGTTTATCTTTATAAACATGATTCATTTTACTTGTGATGTTTTCTATATGGGATGATTAGCCTAATCCTCATGAACACGTGACGCTAGCGCGTGGTATCAGACATGAACTGTACAGAATGCGAACGAGATTAACTTTAATACAAGGAGATAATGGCGCAAAAGCGAATATCAGATCTTTTAAAATGCCCATCCCGGTAAAAACTTTCCAAAATCGGCATCCAAACAACACCAGCCCCAGCACCGACGTAAGTGAACCAGCCCCCACCCCTTCACCTAACACGGACACACACAGCACCCCCAACCGAAAACATCTTCCCACGCCCCTGGACTGAAAGCTACTTGTCGAATTATTAATATAACAAATAACAGCTTTATGTAAAAATACTCTTCCATCCCAGCTTAATTTGCAGAGGCATTTATAAATGAACCATTTGTAGTTGATTTCCGTGAAAAGTGCAAACACTTTATTCACTGACTCAAATTAAAATTCTATTTTAATAAAATGCTGGCCAATAATGATAAATAATTTCAAGTTATTTGTAATTTATAGTGATAAATAATTTCAAGTCATAGCAATAAATGGCTGGTATATAACATTTTAAAATTGTATACATTATTTTATAAATAAAAATTAATGTAATAAAAATTGTATTACATTATTAAATTAAAAATAAAACATTAAAAACCGAAAAATCATTTTAAATGCTACATTTAAAATGCTGAAAAATACTGAATTTAGGCATCACGGCATTATAATGTACCGTAATGACAAATGGATATTAATATTGATATATGCTGAAGACAGAAATGTAATCTACATGTAAAAATAGGTAAATGAACATAAACAATTAAATATCAACCGATATAAAAAAATAATAATTCAGCTACTATCTATAATGGTACTGATGCAAAATGCATCTTAAAGGCTTGTGCACACCGGGATGAATATCGCAAAACGGCAGGCGTAAAAGCGTCATTTAAAAAAAAACCGCCTCGGGACGGTTTTTTTGGTTTGACGTGCCGCTTTAAAAACTGGCCGACCAATGAGATTGGCGCTTTTGTTCACGTGCCTGGAGCTGCTGAAGTTACAGTAAAACACGACTTGGTGGCGCTCAATCACAAAACGGTCTTGCCAAGCACACATTACTACCTAACCACGAAGAGGAAGTAAGTAGACGAAGGCAAGATGAATGTAGAGCTGCTGGTCTCATTGGTGTCTGAACACAAAGAGCTTTATGACAAACGTGACAGCGACTACAAAAATCTCGATAAGAGGGAGTTGCTATGGAGAGGAACTGCAGATCAAATAGGATTTGATGTGTACCGGGGTATTTCTGTTTTTCATTAAGCACCATCTAATGTCAGGGAGTGAATTTGCACATTCACTCGGCTCATCGCCAGCGAAAATCGCTTGGGTATGAATACAAAAGACGCGTCAAAAAACGTCTCGAAAAACGCTGGCGATAAGCGTGCACGATAATCGTCTTGGTGTGCACGAGGCTTAACAGTTCGAGATATTTTTAGACATACATTGGATGTTTCACTTCCTATGTTTCCATTACCGTTTTAATACGCATTTAGAAGTATCGCATCAAAAACAAGTGATGGAAATGACAAATTTCGGGAAAAAAATCAACTTAATTTGCAAAAATAATTTTTACGCTTGCTTGGTGTTTTTTGTCTTGAGCGACAAATGGTTAATGCGAATAATGGGAGATGAAAACGTATTTGCAGAATAAAGTCCTCCATGCGCATCAAAAAAAAGTAATGTGACTTTGCGCGCCGGCATAATCTGACTAACCAGCGGACCGATCGTGTTGCACAGCATCTGAAATGTTATAGTCATTTTGAAATGCCTGAGCAAAGTCATCAAAGTATTTCTGTATTATTGCCTCCCAGAACTGTTACACGACTGCGTTCCCGAACAGCAGGCATCCACGGAAACAATGACCATATTCATTGTGTTTCGTCTGCTCGCTCTGAGGCACAAGTCATTTATAATATATGAAAATTATTATATCCAGTGGCTTCTCCCACTTTTCTTTTTGATATTAATGCCAGTTTATCAGGACGTGCCGGTGCTTATTTGTAAATGTTTTATGCGACATTCCAATTTTGCAATTCAAAGCAAAAACATTCCAAGTTCAATTCGCAACTTTGGATGGAAACCCAGCCACTGACTAACCGTAGGTGAGATTCTAACACACGGTCCAGGTTTTTGTAGAAGGGACGTGAGGTGTAGTATCCAAAATTATTATATTCAGTGGCTTCTCCCACTTTTCTTTTTGATATTAATGCCAGTTTATCAGGACGTGACGGTGCTTATTTGTAAATGTTTTATGCGACATTCCAATTTTGCAATTCAAAGCAAAAACATTCCAAGTTCAATTCGCAACTTTGGATGGAAACCCAGCCACTGACTAACCGTAGGTGAGATTCTAACACACGGTCCAGGTTTTTGTAGAAGGGACGTGAGGTGTAGTATCCACTCCAGTAATGGTCCTCTCTATCCGCATAAGCGAAGAAGTCTCCACTCAGCACAGGGTAATCAGGTGGTCTCGTCCCCGGAGCGACTCCATTAGCCTTGTACACCGCATTAAAGTAATCTGTCAGCGTCGCAAACTGGGCCTGAGAACACAGAGATTTACTTTCAGGGCAATTCAAATTCATTTTGCATTTACCAAAATCCAAAACATCTGTACTCTTTTCTTCCCTCACAAACAAGTTAAATTATTAATTCAGATTATTCCTAGTTGTACATCAAAAGCTGAGCTGAAGGAGCTGTATTTGTTTAAAAAAAAGATTTCTGACATTGCAGAAATAGATTTAGATCTAATTAAACCTCTTCCTGAAAAAACCTACAGACAATTATTGTAGTTTTCTATTGATTTACAGGTTAGAGTCTCTATGTTTATCTGAAAACGTACCTTTACATGCATTTCTGGGTGAGAGTTCATGTAATCGAACAGTTTCTGGTAGTTGAAGTACTGCTGGTCCCACTCTAATGGTTTGTCAAAGCGGAAGTCATCCCCAAGAGGAACCAGCAACACTTTGCTACGAAACAGCTTGGATTTTTTACGGTATTGATCAAGCAGAACGCCAGCTCTGAAACAGAAAATGTCAAATATGAAGTGAATCCACTGGATTGGGTTTTATTAAGTCTAGCAATCGATTAAAAACAAGATAAGCATTGAATAGACAAAAAGTGGTGTATATACACACTACCTGTTTGTTTGTTTTTTCAGAAAGAAATTAATAATTTTACTGGGCAAGGACACACAGATTGATCAAAACAGACATGTATGAACATTTATAATGTTTAAAAAAATGCTGTTGTTTTGAACTTTCGATTCCATCAAAGATCTGAAGGATTCACATTTTAAAAATAGAAAAGTTATTTTTTTAATAATATTTCACAATACTGCTGTTTTTTCATATTCCTGTAATAATTTTATATAATTAATACAACTATATAAAAGAAAATTATATTATACATTTTACAATGAACACATTTTTAAAAATGAGTTGTTATATAATTCTTTTGTTATTTTAATTGTACATAAATTAATATGATTTTTTATCATTCATATCTTAGTTAAATAAATGATACTTAAATGCCCTAGTTTTCATCCGAGCAGATCAATGTCTAGTCATATGAAAGTAAGAAAACACGTTTGAACATTTTGAAGGAAATGACTTGTGAAGCTAAATGTGTACCAATACAACCCTTTGCCTATTCCAGTAAACCTGAAAGATCTCTGAAGTGTAATGACAGGTGCAAATTAATTGCTACAAGCTTGTAATATCCAGGTTTTCTTCTGCAGAGCAAGAGAGCGGTGGATTTGGGTTCGAGCCCAGTTCAAGCGCAACCCATATAAATACAGCTGGTGCCAGCTGGGTGATGGACAAATTAATTTTGTTGGCTAACACAGGAAATTAACCTACATACATTCTTTGGGTAAACTCCCCCGAATCAAATTATTTCCCTGGTTTCATAACAATCAGTCCTACCGCCTCACCTCTCGGCCACGTTGGCATCTGTGATGGCTCGGGGCGGCACCTTCCAGGGGCAGTTGACTCGACTGCCCGGCAGCCTCTTGAAATCAAACTGGCAGCAGATCTTGGGGTCTGGGCCGCACGTGTGAGGCACGTCGTAGCTGTAAAATGGCATCATGTGGCAGAACATGTCTGTGCCTGATTCAATATCTGAAAATAAAGAAATGAAATAAATAAACTTTGATGTGTTGGTCTCTAAGCCACTAAGATGGGTTGGCAAGACTCCTTAGCAAAGCTTTCAAAAGTGTTTTCCGAAACCTTCATTAGACATTTAAAGCCTTTCCAACATGTAATTAATGATTACAAACACTATATTCTGGTCTATTATAGTTATTAACTAGAATTTTAAATTTTCTTAAGAAATATGAGTGATCCTTGCACATGCAAAACACACCGTCATGATGCTAGTTTTTTTTGTTTGTTTGACTAGTTGCGAGAGTGCTTCCTAATGTGTTTTAGGAGCTGTTTTTACAGTTTCTAGAGTGTTAATATGTACATATGTATATGTTATATGTAGAAGTCAAAAGTACACATGCCTAAAGTATGATATTCGTTATATGGTTCAATGAGACTCTTAAGGGATCTTTTCATTGCCGAATGAGAGAAAATCATACGTTTGATCACTAAGAAATGTAACAAGACCCTTCTCCTCAATTTGAAATATCATTCATATCTAAAACATAAAAGTGCCAGATGATCAAGCACCACTAATAAGCAGTGCTGTAATTAACCAAACAATTAACACTATTAAACAATTGTTTTTGTTATTGCAATAAAAAAAAGAAATAAAAAATAGATATTAAAAATAAATACATATATATATATATATATTCATTTCTTAATGTTGTTTAAACTGTTAATACTAAATAACTTATACTAAGATTATTAAAAATAATTTACATTAATTGAAATAAAGCTGAAGTAAAGTAAAATACAAATATTAGAATGATACTAAAATTACTAAAACTGAAATAAAAATAAATTTAAAATATCACACCAAAAAGGTAACCTTAAAAATGTACAACAAAAAAAGAGAAATGTTGCTTCGGCAACTAACTAAAATAAAATAAGTTTAAATACTAAAATTACTAAAACTAAAATAAAAATGCATTTAAAATATTAAATAAAAAGTAACCTTAAATAATTGAAAAAAAAATGCCTTGGTAACAAACTGAAATAAAATGATTTTAAAGTGAAGTACTAAAAAAATCAAAATATAAATGAAGCTAAACAGAAATATAAAAAAATTAAACAAAAATATAAAAAAAAAAAATAATAATTTTTTTTTACTACAATTAAAATTAGTGCTGGGCAACGATTAACATTTTTAATCGTGATTAATCGCATGATTTTCTGCGATTAATCACATTGTAATGCACCAAATTCAATAATGAATTCAAAAGTAGTGTATTGTGCACTTTTTTCATTTAAAAGTACTGCTATATGAACAAAAGTGCAATAACATTTGGTTTGCAAACACTTTAAACAAATAAGGTGCTTTTTACAGCAGTATTCCTTTTACATAGCAGCAGTTCAAATATTTCTTGTAAATCTCAAATTAAACAATGTAATCAAATTAAATATAAAACCAAAGCTATTTGCCACTGCCTGGGCGTTAACGTTTTATAGAAAATATTTAATAGTTTGTTATAGAAAAACAAGTTATGCTCAGAGTCCAGAACCTCGATCATAACATTATAACAGACACCTTCCGATTAGAGACCTGCACGATCGCGGGACCCAACGCAACAGAGTGCGGAGCGGGACAACACTTGATGGGCGAGTGCAGGTGCGGGCGGGTAGACACTCATGTGCGGGATGTGGGAGAATAAGGGTGTACTCACACTAGGCAATCTTAACTGTGCCCGAGCACGTTTGACTCCCAAAGCCCGGTTCGTTTGACTAGTATGATTGCTCCGTGCTGCGCTCGGGCACGGTTCGTTTAGCCGGCCCTGGCTCGGTTGGAAGAAGTGGGCCAGAGCGAGGTTCAGTTATATATAGATCAGTGAGTGTGAGCGCTAACCGCGCCGAAGTGCAGAACTTATGATACCTGCAGCACGATTGCGTGAACATTTCTGAGCAGCAAGAGTGATAGCTCTGTAAAGCAATATATTGTGAGAGGGCCGTGAGTTACCGCGTCCCAAACAACTCAAAATAATAAACCACAAAGTTAACAAAATGATGCACTCCACTGTGATGAGCGAGAGGCTTCTCTGCTGTCTTCACGTGCTATCGAAAACTTCCTGTTTCCCCAATTATGAAGTCGTGATTACGAGCACGTTGCATTCTTTTCTGTTAAAAATAACAGAGAACAGTGGTTTGTGAATGTTGATGCTTCGCCTAAAGAATTTCATGCAAGCACTGCTGCAGTCTAGGCCCACCGCAAATGCTCTCATTGGTTGAGACGCATGATGCTGCCCATCCCAAGCCAGTACCGATCAACATCCCACCCCTCCTGTGACCCATGGTTTGTCTGTATGCGTATTCAGAGCCAGCGAGCAAAGGACTAACGAATGGTTAATGCACGATTAAATAATTGTCAGCGTTCATTAATTAATGCATTAACGCGATAATAACACATTAACTTGCCCAGCCTTAATTAAAATGAAAATTGAAAATATAAAAATAAAAGAAACTTGAAAGTACCGGGGAGGTATTTTATTCTCAAATGTCTAAATGTGTAATAACAATGATTTGAAATATAACAAATATATTTAAATGTCAATGCATGTTTTTGTAGTCATTTACCCCAGGTCTGCCTCCACATGAATTCTAGGCTCCGTGTGGCAGCAAAGTGCTTCTTGATGGAGTAATGGACCCTCTGGATCAGCATGCTGCTCATGTTTGCCCGTTTCAGTAGGTAAGGCATCGTGGCGCTGTACCCGAACGGATCAACGGCCCAGCCTGAGCGAGGGGTCACACCTGCAGTAACACACCGATTAAATATTCCAAACCAATCTGAAGGAGCCACTTTTCAAATTAAACCCGCATCGCCCACATCTAGAACAAATGCGCTAATTGCTAAGCAAGCCACACCATTTATAAAACAATCTTACCCAGATTTTTCTCTAGCCACTGATGGCCTTCAATCAGCTGATCGATCATGGCGAAATAGTGAGCGCTGGCCTCATCCGTCATGACCCAGCCTCCCGTCACCATCTCAAGCTGTCCGCTAAGGATCAGCCTGAAAGAAAAAAGGGTTTAGAAAGAATTCTTAAAATTTAAAGCACTGTTCACAAGATGAGGTGAGGAAATCTACGACATTAGATCAGGGTTTATAAGGAGCATCTAGACTAATTAACCTTCAGCGGATTACTGAGTTAAGAAGATGAACTGATCAAGAGTGAGCATGAGGGACTGAATCTAAGCACAAAAGACAGAATGAGGGCACTGAACAACCAACACTGCAGAGACCCATTTTTCATTCTGAATGTAACATTTTCCAAGTGATTTCCATAGCGGCACAGTCGGGAATTGATTGGATTGTGAATTGGATGGAATATGATTAAATTTAAAATAACTGTTTACTATTTTAATATTATTTAAAACACAGGTAATTTATTCCTGTGATGCAAAGCTGAATTTTCAGCATCATTACTCCAGTCTTCAGTGTCACATGATTCTTCAGAAATCATTCTAATACACTGATTTGCTGCTCAAGAACAATTTCTTATTGTTGAAAATAGTTGTGCTGCTCAATATATTTATGGAAACTGTGATACATTTTGTTTTTCAATATTCTTTGATTTTATACATATATATCACTATAAATGTCTCTACTGTAACTTTCAATCAATTTAATGCATCCTCCTTGCTGAATAAAAGTATTTTATTAATTTCTTTAAAGTGATTTTTTTTTCAAGGGTAGAGCCAGCTTTGATGAACGATTATGAAGAAAAACTAAGACAAAAATAGTCAAGTTTGATTTTTAAATTGAACAATTTTAACATCATATTTTTTAACTTCAAATTTTATTTAAAGGGATAGCTCACCCTAAAATGAAATTCTATCATTAATTCCTCACCTTCATGTTATTCCAAACCCGTAAGACCTTTGTTTATCTTCAAAACACAAATGAAGATATTTAAATCCGAGAGCTCTCTGACCCTGCATAGACAGCAAAGGTAGTAAGGACATCGATAAAATAGCCCATGTGACATCAGTGGTTCAGACTCAATTTTCTGAAGCTACAAGAATACTTTGTGCGCAAAGAAAACAAAAACAACTTTATTCAACCATTTATTTTCTTCCATGCAGTGTTAATTTAGTTGACGAATAATTGTCATAATTTTTGTCAGCAACATTTTTTTCACAGACGACAACGAGACGATAACGAACTAAAACTCTTTTGGAATGACAAAAACTATGACGTAAATCTATTGACATTTTCGTCAATGAATAAAAACGAGACGAAAATGTTAGGGAGGGACGAATCTGGTTCAGAGGTTAGATGCGTACATATGAACTGGCGGGACATTGACAAAATGTCTATATATGGGAGTAAGAGAAGAACAGACATATGGATAAATCTTACGACGCAAGAGAGAACTCAATTCGGTGCGGTTTTCTGAGTGCAGACACTGAAGCACACACACACACAGAAAGCGCATCTCACAGCGCGCGAGTACTCTTTCGCGTGGCATGAACGGAGAATTACACACAAAATTATGTCGAATTGTCAGTTTGACGAGTACTCATGTAAACACAGTTGATTACGTCTTAAGTGAACGTAAACAGTAGGGAGAACGTGTATCAGTACATTGCATCCATTGCAGCCGTGCATTCGGTTTTAAAGGGACAGCAGCCTAATTTAGTTGCTATTGTCCGAGTCATTGATGTTAATCAAGCAACAACAGAAAGACAGAAAATCACGCACTGCTCTTGCCTGAAAAACTTTAGTAGTCCTAATTAATTAATTTGAACATAAAGGCATGTTGTGTCACCGCAGTTAAATCGGTGTCTATCATGATAAAACCTTAATATCAAACCTATATAATGAGTTTGGAAATTTTAGAGAAATGCTTAATAAATGCACTGTAACTAAACCCATTAGATTTTAGCCGACTAAAATTACTGTAGATTTAGTCGACTAAAATCTTATGATATTTAGTCGACTAAAACTAGACTAAAACTAAAAACAATTCAGATGACTAAAATGACTAAAACTAAATGCCATTTTAGTCAAAAGACTATAAATTAAACTAAATCAAAATTTGCTGTCAAAATGAACACTGCTTCCATGTCAGTCTTCGATGCACGTTCAGTGTTTCCCCTAGGTTTACGGCTTTGAGGGGGGTGGGGGGTGGTATTCCGTTTTTTTTTTTTTTTTTTCTGGACTCCTGTTTAATGGTTAAATTAAATTTTATTAATCAAAAATCATGTCTAATGAATTAAAATCATGAAACTTAAACAATTTAACATCAATTTATTAAAAGTTTAACAAAAATTACATGTTTAGGGCCCTATGAAATGTTTTATTTTTTCCATTTTTTACGACAGTTTTACTCAAATGAAGCGGTCAAATGCTCATGAAGTGACTCTCAGAGTAGTTCTGGAGATGTTGTTCATGTATTTATGTCCTCATTTAGTGAGGCAGCAGACGCTAAAATCACCGCAAGCGTCAAGCGCCTTCAGTACCAGTGGTAAACAAAACCGTGCGTCTGCGCCATTCATTAACACAGAGACACGCAGAATTCATATTTAATAGTCGTTTTGCGGCTTAATATTTACAAATACTAGTGGGAGTGTGCGCACGTGTGTGTGTGTATGTGTGTGCGCACGGGGCGGAACTCCGCTGTGCGTGATACAGAGAGCGCAACCATAATGTAGAGACCGAAATGACATGCCGTCGTGTAAATAAGATAAATAACATAAGGCTATTTAGTTTGCTTAATAAAAGAACAAGGTATATACAGTGGGTACGGAAAGTATTCAGACCCCCTTAAATTTTTCACTCTTTGTTATATTGCAGCCATTTGCTAAAATCATTTAAGTTAATTTTTTTTCCTCATTAATGTACACACAGCACCCCATATTGACAGAAAAACACAGAATTGTTGACATTTATGCAGATTTATTAAAAAAGTGTACATGTTCTATAAGAAAGGTAACTTTAAATGACTTCTGTTGTGATCTTGCGCTACAGAGAAAATATAATTAAATAAAATTAACTTGACCTTCAGGGGTGGCGGGGGACGACGTTCGGGGGGGCGGACCATTGATGTCACATGGACTATTTTAACAATGTCCTTACTACCTTTCTGGGCCTTGGAACGTGTCAGTTGCACTGCTGTCTCTTTTGATTTCATCAAAAATATCTTAATTTGTGTTCCGAAGATGAACAAAGGGTTTGGAACGACATGAAGGTGAGTAATTAATGACAGAATTTTCAGTTTTGGGTGAACTATCCCTTTAACATAAAACATTACTCACTTGCGCATTGCCTCTTGTTTATGTACATCTGCGCTTTCCCACCACTTGGCGAAGAACGAGATTTCCGACCAAATGAATTTCCTGCGAGGATCTTCGGCCAGTTTCACCACCATGTTGTTAAAGATATGCTGGGTTTGGTCATTGTAGTACTTGTCAAATGTTTTGATCCATCCTGTCACAAAAAAGAAGTGCAGTACAAAGTCAGTTAAAACCATCCAAGGACGGCAAACAGATCAGATGTAGTTCTGCCACAACGGAATGAAGTGACAATACAGTATGTGCTAAAAACAAATGCTCTTTTAATAAAACACTGAAAAGTTTATAAGAAGCACAGCCATTTGGCCGCATTTCGTTCCCTGAAGAACAACCTGTTCAAAATAACACTGTCTGTTCATTATTCAGAGGCACTGCTAGGCTGTAAAAAAATCTAATCTTTTTGTCAGCGCTGGAACAACAGATCCGCGCTGACCCTCAGAATGACAGAAAGACATTTCGAGTCGCGGTAGACTGATTGAAACATATAGGGAACATGTTCAGTATTATGCAATCTGCATTAAATGCATAGCACCACAAAGACCAGTGACAGTACTGACCCCAATAAAACAACAGGGAATCGGGTCACTGACTTTAAAGTATTAGATTCTTCGTTCTTTCATAATGCTGCAAAAAATGCCAACTGCAGGGGTTCGCGAAACTTATCTGTCCTGTGGGTGATGCTGAAACTCATTGTGTTTCTCTTAAGGTGCTTCACAAATTGTGCCAATGCTGCAAAATGCAAGCCCAGTAACTGACCCACTTTACCTGCACAACTCTTTCGGATATGCATTGCTAGGTGCTAGACTGAGGATGCTGCATCAACAACTAAAACAAAATGAAAAATGTTACATCCACTTAAGGACGAAGGGTGAAAACATTCTAGTAGAGATTGAAACTTTGAAAAATGTTTAGGTTGCTTAATGAAATGTATGCAAGCTAAGCTATCACAAAAGCAGCCAATGCTCCAATTAGAATATGTACAGCATTTTGTCTTTAACAAAATATCCAAATTAGGATACATACACTACTGTTCAAAAGTAGTGTCCCATTTTTTAAAAGAAATGGAATACTTTTATTTATGAAAAAAACATTATATTGATTAAAAGTGACAGGAAAGACATTTAATGATAAAAATGATTTCTATTTCAAATAAATGCTGTTCTTTTACTTTTTCTACTCATCAAAGAATCCTGAAGAAATCATGATTTCCACAAAAATATTAAGCAGCACAACTGTGTTCAACGTTGATAATAATAAGAAATGTTTCTTGAGCAACAAATTAGCATATTAGAATTAATTCTTGAAGGATCATGTGACACTGAAAAATTCAGCTTTGCATCACAGGAATAAATTATTGGCTTGAGTGAGCGGAGGCCTGCGGGCTTGAGTGAGGAACGGCCGGTGGGCTTGAGTGAGCAGAGGCCAGCGGTCTAGACTAGAGTGAGGAACGGCCGGCGGATTCGACAATGGAGCAGCCGGCAGGCTTTCGGCAACCACATGTGACGACCCCGGGCTGGACTCTGCTTCGTCCACGGTGAAAGCCGATCCGGCGATCCACAGGGAAAGTTGATGCATTTCCTCAGCGACCAGCACAGATCAGCTCTAGGCATGACGAAGCAGATATCGTCCTCTTTTGGAAGACCAAACAAAGTAGTTTCACTTTCACAACGAATCACACAGCGTCTTCAGGACATGGCGGCAGCAACAATACTACAGCGAGAATAAAAGTTACGCCTTCTTTCTTTGCGTGAACCTTTGGGCGGCATTATGGGCATATCTTCCCACATCGTGACGTAGATATGTGGGGGCGGGTTAGAATGAGGCGTTTTAGGTAGGCGTGACTGACTCTTAACTTTTATAAAGAATATCTCTTTGGATTTGAGATTTTAGTCTTTGCAACTTTACAGATCTTCTTTATGCACCAAGAGCTTGTAACACTCCAAAGAGAAAGGAAAAATTGAAATCGCATCATTAGACCCCTTTAAATCACCAAGTAATTTGTGTTCATCGCTGAATTCAAGCAGATGATCTCACAGCGCTGTTTAGTGCTCGCATGACTGAGAAAACACATCTGCTCTAGTGAGCTCGCGCCGCGCGCAGTTTAAACTGTGATCTGAGCGGATAAACGGTCCGTGTGGCGCAATTCAAACAAGTCGCGCTGTTTCGTTCCGCTTTTAGAGCATAAACATTATATCGAACATTTATCGAACCCTTCATATTGTTTTATCGAGGAAAATTATATCGCGATAATTATCGTTATCGAATCATCGCCCAGCCCTAATTGCATGCTTGTAAAGAAATATGCTTAATGTCAAATTAATATTAAATACAAATCATAAGAGTAGTTCAAATTAATTTGACAAATTTGTGTATTATTATTTTAATTAATAGTATAATTAATAATAGTAATAATAATTCATTTAATATATCTATATACTACATCTTATTTAATTTTACCAATTTATTATAAATATCTAAACATGTCAATGTCTATTAATAATGACATTTTGATGTTGATAATATTTGTTCCTATTTGAGCTTTAACGAAGGGAATGCTCTTGTGAGGAAGAGACTGAACAGCTGCTGCTGTTAGAGTTTTTTAATAAAGACTTCTGAGTTATATTCCTCTTTGTATCCAGCATTATTATTATTATTTACCCACATCCACCTCAGCTGTTGGCTAACATCAAAAATAAGAGTTATGCGAGCTGTTCACAGTCTTCATACCTCTCAATTTCTGCCTCTGAAAGTGAACTCTTCAAGTAGGTTTGCATCATCAAAATAACAAGTCGAAAGGTCACCAACAGGAAGTGATTATGGGCTAATTCTCATTAGCATTTATATAGCATTGCTATATAAAGATCCATACAGCTAGTGTACTTCTGAAGCCATGAAACAGACTGAAATTGAATTCGTTTATTCAATGAAAATCATCTTCAGTGGGCTGTTAACCGGAGATCTAGGGCAGATTTAAACATTATTAGTGAATATTTTATGATACTTTTATGGTGGTTTTGTGTTTTGTCAGTTCCAGTTACATGACTAATTGAAAACACAAAACACAAGTTACACTCCAGACCGCAGATATAATGCATTATGCATGTAGCATGAAATCCGATAGCAGGACAACTACTTGACATATAAGCACAGCTTTTGTGTTTATGACTTGAGTTTTGACTCTTTCAAAATTATCTGGGTTGAAGTGAATCATTCCCAAATCTGAAAAAGTAAACTCAGGCCAGGGCTTCATAGGTTGTGAATGAAGTTTCAATCCCTACCTGGATCATTGTGCGAATGAGGGACCACAAACACTTGCAGAGGCTCGTCGTCCCACTCGTTGGGCTCGTAAGTGATCTCAAAGCCTTGCTTCCAAACACCTCCATCCACATTATCGAAGCTCAGCAAGGAGTATACATCCAGCATCTGCGGCAAAGCAAACAATTCAGAGATTGTCTTGAATGTTATTGCATGAATTCATCTGGATCCGTCTTGATCCGCTTCACAATTCCCAAAAATCTTTACAAAAACCTCCACTTGGAGACAAAAAAATGTTACATTCAGTGATTTTCCACAAAACTAAGCATGTTGTGGACTTCCTGATAAATACTACATCTCATGGCAATTTGCTTTAACTGACAGATGACACAGGACCTGTATTTAGTGTAGATGTGACAGCCTGAAGCATAACAGCGCACCCAATGGAGTCTTACAGTGCCTGTTCACAACAAACATGTCAGGTGTTAGACGTGTGTTGAATTTTCTCGAAATATTTCTCAAAAAAAATTCCAAGTATCTGAGGATGTGAAAAATCATATTAAAGCTGCAACAAGTATTTACTTTACTAGAGAAAGTCATACTATAGTATACTATACTATAGACAACCAGTATTATGTAAAAAATAGTAGTGCTCTTAAATGGTTAAATCTGTAACATAGTATGTCAATATCCCCTTAAGTGAGTGCTAGATGATGGCAAATGTAATTTAAATCTGATCTAAAAATAGGCAGAAACAATTAAACATCCAATATCAGCAGCTAAAATCCAAAATGGCCAATACCAATTTAAATTTAAAATAAGATTAAAAATGAAGTAATTGTAAAAATGCTGATAAATATTGTGCATTACTAGGAGAAAATTAAGTGAGTGGTTATGGCAAATGTAATCTGAATCTAAATCTAATCTAAAATGGGAAGAAACAATTAGCCAACTAATATCCACTGATATTACTTGCCAGTACAGGCTGAAAATAAAATAATAAACCAAAAACAAGCAGAAACAATTAAAACTGATAAATATCCAAAACAGCCAATACAGTTTAAGATGAAATTTTTGATTTTAGGCACGCAAACTTTTGGAAAAATAATATTTAATATATTTATTTGCCAGACATGCATGTTCTATGCAATTGTTTGATACAAGATATGTTTCTAGTTTCAACATTATTTGTTCTTTTTATTCCTCTTTAAAAGAAAAAAAAAGTATCATCTGTATTGCAAAGTGTCCCACAATTGGTTTTTGACCACTGAAAATGTGTACAATTTAACCATTTACTCCTGGAGCCAAATTTAGATCCCAGTATATCTGGAACTGAACCATACGGGGCCTTAAAAATGAAGATGCCAAAAGTAAAGTTTCTTAAGACCCAGTCTCTAAAAGGGCATAATGATATCTTTAATAATTCTTGAGTTACAGGCATCCAAACTTGGGAGAAAAAAATGGAAAAGTGCCTTTTCCCATTATTGAATGGTCACCATTGACATATAATGCAACAAAGCCTGCTAAAGTCAACCGATTTTACTAACAGACCTACCAATCTCTGTGTAAAAATAACAAGGATTCGGTCATCTTTCTGAAGTCATTTCTACTCTCAGGTGAAACTTTTCATTTTGACCCCCCTCTACAAAACGGTGGATTACTCAGTTAATACACATCCGTAACATTTAATATTTTGGTTTTCATCACTATACATGTTAATCTTTCTTCAGAACAAATACTGACATAATCATACATTTGAGCCGGCGACCTCTGGATGAGTTGACACTGAATGACATTACAAAAGTAACTGTAAAAGTTGGAGACTCAAAACTGTGTGATTATTGATGGAATCCTTGGCAAGGATAGCCAGGAAACACAAACAGAGCACCACAGATGTAACCACAACAAGTGAATCCCAAAGCCGCCCTGCAAGCCTCTCCCAGATAACACTGCATTAAATTCAAGTCATTCCACACACTTCAGCCCACTGAGATGCTGTTTTCATTCTCACCTGCAGGTCAGTTTGGCTCCTGCGGCCCAGTGCGAACTGGCAATCCAGCGGCTGGACGGAGAGAAAGGTGGGCCTGCCATCAAAGGGCAGCACCCAGGAGCCATTGGCGCTACGGAAAGGGAGGTGTCCGCTGGGAGAGATGGCCCCCGTGTCGGTGAGCTCCAGCACAGAGTCTTTGATGTGGCTGATGATCTGATGGTTCTCCTCCAGGAGCTGCTCCAGCTGCTCGATGCGGTTCTGCAACACCGAAATCTGGCTCTGAAAAAACCAGGGGGATGGAGGTGTAATCTATCTACCACCACAATCTACAACATCACATGACTGACCTGAGCTCTCTAGAGGGGGTGACACACCAAGGCACACAGGACTGGCATTGGCTGACCTGCAACACATCTACAGTATCACTAACAAACTGGATTTTTACTTTATTAAGTAGCGATTCTGAGTGGGGATTAGGGCTGCACGATAACTCGCATGCGATATTTAACGCGCATCTTGTCAGTAAAGCCGTTCTGTAATCAGCGGTAAATCTCCATCACGTGCGGGCTTGGAGATTTACCGCTGATTACAGAACGGCTTTACTGACAAGATGCGCGTTAAATATCGCATGCGAGTTATCGTGCAGCCCTAGTGAGGATGTACCAATGTTATGATGTTTCTTTTTTGTCATGTTATGGCTAAAAACTGACAAATGGACGATTTTATACTATTTCGTCTTAATGCATTAAAAAAAATCACAAATTAAAATCAACCATTTTAAATTTTGCAAGTGAATTTAGCCATCACAACATATATAATCATTTAAAAATCTGAAATAAGTGCAAATAAATACATTTTGTATAACATTTTCTAATGCTCATTGTATAATATCTAATGCCCATAAAAATGTATATCTATTTTTTATACTGTATGTTATAATGTTAGGTTGCTTAAATTCACTTGCAAAAATGTAAATGGTTGATTTTAATTTGTGATTTTTTTTTTTTATGTATTAAGACAAAATAGTATAAAATCATCCATTTATCAGTTTTCGGCCATAACGTGACGACAAAAAATTATTGGAAAGAAATTTCTGGTACATTCCTACTCACAATTGCTATTCACATATTCCTTATATACAAGCATATACCTTTTATACAAGTAATACACATAAAATAAAAATTATATATATATATTCATTTATTATATATAATATTTGATAGATTTGTCTAGGACGTTCAATCTAGAGGTTTTCAAAAGACATGATATTCCGGTCCTTAGATACGTCTCAGATCCTTTCTTTAAAGTAAATTCACAGGATTTTTTTTTCTGCCATTTTATCATCTCCCAGGCGGATCACAAGTTTGATGGCTTAGAAAAGTAATAGCACACCTCTCCCCAACACGGCGCATGATTCGAGGTACCATTCAGATCCGTAGTACAAAGGGTGAGGGATGAGTTACATGTAAAAACGTAATAGTTAGGATTGGGAGTTTCTTCAAATCCCTTGCCTTAGCAAGTATTACTAATATCAAGTGTCACAGAAGCTGTAAGTGTTTGCCGGTGCAAAGCTCACAGACAATCAAATTGAAAAATGATTTAGTACAGGCTTTGAATACAAACAATATCGGAATTTCCATAATGTGCTTTTTTTTTTCTTCCTGAGGCTTATGATATGAAGCACATAAAACGTGCTAATTCATGTGTCATCCTGTACGCAATTTCTACAAGAACACCAACACATTTTCCTAATAATTCGGTTTTTGCATTTAAAAAAGCCTTTGGTTTTGTAGCAGAAAAAAGCCAGCACTCACCGAGACTTATTCACTAGCTAATTTAGTAGTTAATTAGCTCGAGTCAGAGCCAGAAACGAATTGGTCACATCACTAACTTTTACACTTGCCAGCCTGAAAACCCCCCACCGAAGACTTTGATAAATGGAGCCATTCAAACAGACCCACACAGCAAAAAAATATAATCCAGGACAAAGGGAATTCATAAAGAGATCACCGCCGACTTACCCTAGGAAAGTTCCCAGCGCTCTGTCTCCTGGCGGGATCGTGCTGGACGCGGTCCAACATCAGGTAGAGAGAGAAGACGGCCACACAGAAGATGGCCCCGCCGCAAACGGTCACCTGCTTCTTCAGTTTCATCCTCCTCTGCTTATCTGACGGATGCTGATGTCCAGGTCAAGAGGAGCGGAGACAAAAGAAGACAGTGTTAGCCTGCACAAATGAGTTCTGATGAAGCCGTGTCCCAAAAGTGGAAAAGTACTGGAAAAGGATTTGCCAGCGATGTTTAAAGTCCACCTCTGCTCTCCCACAGAGCTCCAAATTCTAAAGCAGGGGCTTATGGGATAGGGGAGGGCTAAGAGAAGCGGTGAAATATACACGGGGGACGACGATAAGCAGGAACCGCGCGGCAGTCTGTCAACTGTGACCGAACCACGGCCAATTCCAGCCTCCGTCAAAGTGCCCCTTGTCCTCAGCCATTCAAACCGAAGAAAAGAAGGGGAAAATAGAACAACACAGGTTCTGAATCTAATGTCCCTCTGGCAAAGCTGCTCTGTGTGTGTGTGTGTGTGTGCATATATACTGTGTGTCATTACGGTGAGGACATGTCCCCAGCACTTTATCAAACAGCTTCCGACAGGGATGGATCTAATACAGCATCTCCAGTTCTTGAGCAAGAGTTCTCATTGTTACTAGTTAATGTTCTCCTGCTTAGCTCTCACGCACACTCCAATCTACCACCACGGCCAATTCCAGCCTCCGTCAAAGTGCCCCTTGTCCTCAGCCATTCAAACCGAAGAAAAGAAGGGGAAAAAAGAACAACACAGGTTCTGAATCTAATGTCCCTCTGGCAAAGCTGCTCTGTGTGTGTGTGTGTGTGTGTGTGTGTGTGTGCATATATACTGTGTGTCATTACGGTGAGGACATGTCCCCAGCACTTTATCAAACAGCTTCCGACAGGGATGGATCTAATACAGCATCTCCAGTTCTTGAGCAAGAGTTCTCATTGTTACTAGTTAATGTTCTCCTGCTTAGCTCTCACGCACACTCCAATCTACCGCTTTCTGTGGCTCATGATACAGAAATAAAGCAAAATCCAAATAAATCATGAAATACATCAAATGATGTACAGTGCCAATTCTGGTTAAATAAAATAGCAATAAAATGTTATATTAGGGCGAATCAGAACCCAAAAACATTGAACGAAGCAGATGCAAGTAATGTTTAATATATATACAGTGGGGAAAAAAAGTATTTAGTCAGCCACCAATTGTGCAAGTTCTCCCACTTAAAAAGATGAGAGAGGCCTGTAATTTTCATCATAGGTATACCTCAACTATGAGAGACAAAATGAGAAAAAAAAATCCAGAAAATCACATTGTAGGATTTTTAAAGAATTTATTTGCAAATTATGGTGGAAAATAAGTATTTGGTCAATAACAAAATTGCATCTCAATACTTTGTTATATACCCTTTGGTGGCAATGACAGAGGTCAAACGTTTGCTGTAAGTCTTCACAAGGTTTTCACAAACTGTTGCTGGTATTTTGGCCCATTCCTCCATGCAGATCTCATATAGAGCAGTAATGTTTTGGGGATGTCGCTGGGCAACGTAATATATGTTATATTTATATATAATATGTTTATATATAATATATAGTGAATATTTCGTTTTCTGCCTATTTCTACGTTATATTTTTGTTTGCGTTTGTATTTTTGATTGCACTTTCTGGTAATTATAATAACTGCCCTCGGCTAAGAAGGAGCGCGTGTAATTTAATTGCTCCCTTCCTGCGTTGAAGTGCGAACTGTAGTTTCGATTGGAGGAATTGCCCTGCTATAGACTATTGGCTGTGCTAATTAGAAGGCGGCCACAGCGACCGTAGAGTATTTAAACTGCTTGGTCACTGTCATAACTTGGGTCAAGCGATTAGTCAACAGAAGAGACAGACGGCTGCACGTGAGTGTCCTGCGTAATACTTGGTTATAGATCTGCTGTTGGAATTATTACTTGCTGCTAAGAAGGAATATTTCGTTTTCTGCCTATTTCTACGTTATATTTTTGTTCCCCCCCCTATCCGGAATGCTGAATCCCTGACAATTTTCAAGCGACAGCTGAAAACTCATCTCTTTCAAAGCTACTTGACTTCATCATAAAAAAAAATTTTTTTTTTTTTTAAAAAGTCTCTCTCTTTATTTATTCCTTCTCTTTCTAGCTTGTACTTATTTGAACAATGTCTAAGAACTTGGTATTACAACCACTTCTTGTGTCTGTTTGCCTCTTTAAGAAGAATCGCTTTATGTATCCCCCAATTGTAAGTCGCTTTGGATAAAAGCGTCTGCTAAATGACTAAATGTAAATGTAAATGTATATTTATAAGAAAATTCAAAATATTAATAAAAACGATGATAGTATATAAATAATGCTAAACACTATTATTAACACTAGAAATATTTATTATTATTTTTATAGTACAATATAATGTCATGGATTTAATAAATATTAATAAACATAATATAATCTTTATATATAATATACAGTTTTTAATGTTGTTTAAAAAAATTTGTTATTAATAACTGAAAATTACAATTATTCAACAGAATTTTCATTAATTTAAATAAAGCTGAAATAAAATATAAATATCAGAAAACCATAAACTTGCCCTGGCAACTAGGTGAAATAAAATAAGTTTAAAGTTTACATTCAATGTACTTAAAGAACTAAAACTAAAATGAAATAAATGAAATTAAAGCTAAAAATAAATATTCAAAAAACAAAGCTAATAAAAAAAAACACAAAAGCACATAATAAATGACTAAAATTAACTAAATAACTCAAATTAAATTGAAAACAAAGTTTAAAAATAAAAGCTCATTTAAAATCTTAATAAATTCTATTGCTAGTACATAAATAACACTGTTTAAATCCGGGGTACTCAACAGGCGGCCCGTCTGCATTCATTTTGTGGCCCGCGCCATGCTGAAGATTAATTTATTTTTATTACAATTTGCGTTCAAAATATTAGGCAGTTTGATTTATTATTATTTTTTTATTAAATGTAGGCTATACAATCGCAGTAGTAAAAAAAATGTTATCGATTCGTTGAATATTGTATTTTATAAATAGACTGCAGCAATTTTTACTAGAAACTCTAGTAAATTACATGTTATTTTGTTTAGTTTCTTATTTCCAGCTGAAACGGAAATGGTTTTTCGGGGCGTGGTTTAATTTTTGGCCTCCTCCTCTCTGTCGCTCACTCATAGCAACCTAACGGTTGGAGGGGTGTGTTTAGAAGGATATTCTGCCCAAGCCGTCAAACTGACGTCATCAGAGAAGGAATGCAATTCCAGAGCGGAAGTAAATGTTCAGATTTTGATTAAAGATTACCAAGACAAACTATTTTTTTCAGCGGATTAACTTGCACGGTTTAATTGTTCACATCAAGACTAGCAATGTGCGCTAGTAAAGTAAATAAAGTCAATTTTGATTTCATGCGGACTTTAAATAAACTCTGACGATGCAAATTGTAATTTGTGGCCTTTCGCATTTTATGTAGTTTAAATGCGGCCCGCTTGACCGCTGAACTTGAGTACCCCTGATTTAAATGATGCTTGGACATTTCTGATTGTACTGTTTTGTCAGTTTAGACTTAATTGTAAAAAATATATATTATTAAACTAATATCGTGATGTCACAACCAGCACATCAGCACCACCCAACTGTCGCCCACGTGTGTATGTGTGTTTTCTGACTTACTGGGTTGGGTGTAGTCCTTCACAGGGCAGTGGTCGCTCCGGTCTGAGTTGGCCGAGGAGCCATCACAACGAATGCAGGTTTCCACTGAGCAGAGAAACGACCAGAGCAGAATAAGAACGACCTGGCTCAGTACGCCCCCTCTTTCTTAAGCAGTTTTCTTCTTTCCAGCTTGGCTGATAGGTCTCGGACACAGATGATGCAGATCTGCTTGTGCACTACGCTTTTAATGTCATAATGTATCCAACAAAGTCTCTAGTCTTAATATTTGGGAGCTGAACGCGAGCACCTTCTCTGCAGTCAAGGAGGTCTGACCTTGATTCTGAATGATTCTGGATTATCAAGTCCTACAACAGGAAGCAATTCTGGGAAGTGCACAAATTGTGCCAAACTTGACTATGTAAGGTGGCGTTCTGCATGCAAAATCCAAAATCCAGAGCAGCGTGGCCTGGATTTGCCTGTAAAAACAAGCAGGTGTTCTCTTTCCCTTGTCTCACAAATCTAATATGAAGCTGATCCCGTCAGCTTCGAGTCAGGCAGTGTCTTAGCGCTCTCCAGAAGGATTTGGGATTAGGCCTTTCCTCCAGGACTGGTAAACAGCTCAACCGATCCCACGTCCAAAATGGAGAGCTTCCAGGAACGGCTACATAAAACTGAGTCGGCTACAAAAGGGAATCTTAATGGAACAGCTCTTGATGGAAGATAGTAAACCTAGTTTTAGAAAACTAATGAATAGAGTTGGTTTGAAGGTCTTCCATGTTTCCTATTTTGAAGCTCAGATTTCCACAGCAAGCCTCAGAAACAGAGAGCCAAGCACCTGTGAAAACAAACAATCTCAGTGAACGGTGTAATTTAATGCTTTTCCCAAATACTACACGTGCAGACGCACCAAACACACGCATCTACTGAAGCTTAAATCAAGACAGTGGAAGCCAATCAATTAAAACCACACATTATTCCCAAAGCAAAAGCATGGCAGGGAGTTTTGTCAACTGTAGACAACATTTTTTTTTAGTTAATGTAATTTTTTTAATCCTCATACATGTCTGAATCTATGGATTTTGGAAGCCGATAGTATAATACAAAATATAATTTAAATTATATTTTTATTTTATAATTTAAACGTATTTATTATATTTAATTTTTTACAATTTAAACAATATACTATGCCAGAAAAACATACTTAATTGTTATTACTGATCCACTGACATTTTGGCAAACGAAAACAAATTTAACCAAAACTAGCAAAAAAAAAAAATTCAATAATTGTCCATTTTTTATATCATACATTAGAAATTATTTATTGGAGGATCATTGTTAATAATGATAGACTGCTATATCAGCCAGATTGATGAATTGGCTGCTATTTGATATTTGGCTGATAATTAAGTCTGCTTAGCAGCTTCTCAGAAGCCAGTTCCAAAGGGCCTCATGAGAGAGAGAGTATGAATATTCATTAGATTACATCTCAGTAATGATGTACAGCTCAATTGCCTTTATATTGGTCATCCAACACCATCAGTATTGGCATCAGCAATTAAAAATCCCATATTGGTCCAACACAAACTGTGAAAAATGGATTTAAAGAACAGACAAAAGACTGTAGATTTATGATATCGGCTTTTGGCTGATATCATAATAAAACGAAAATTAATAAAAAATGTTATTTAAATAAAAAATAATAATTAAATCTCCGAGACTGAAAGAATCACAGTAATCACTGTCTGTTTGACAAATAAAAAGATTTAAAAAATACAGATACATTACAATATAAATATGCAAATAAATAATTAACAAGCGAGGGAAGTGATCAGTATGTAAAACTACAGCAGCCTGATCTTTGCCCTGAAAGTCCCAAAGACCTCAACATGACTTTCCAGAAATATGCCTGAAATATTGGCCTCTTCCTGTGTGTTATCACAGCAATGATATCAGAGCCTTTAAGCACAAACCCACTGATATCCACAGCCAGCCTTAGCCTATATCTGCACATGGAGGCAAGTTACTCGTTTATCCGATCTATCCACCTCTAACTGGCATTCCCGCTCAAGATCAGACAAATATAAGAGTTTATCAGCCAGATCCGCAGGTACGATCGCGTACTATGCGCGTGCAGCATGTAAATACATCGGCTCTGGTCTATTCTTCAACACAAGCGCGCGATCAAGCTACAGAAAACACCTTTCTAACGTTTAAAATCATTATACTGCACTTCTAGCGTCTTTGAAGCGGCTGACCTGTTAGTGGCATGGATTTTAAACGAGAAAGCAGTCACGGGACATCAAATATTTACCCGTTATTTCTTCCTGAAAGACGGCTGTGATCCTTTGCGAGAGCTTGAGAATGGAGCAGAGCATTGTGGGAAGTGAAGTTTTCTTAGGGCTGAGGCGCACTGGCTTCCGATTGGTTAGATTACTGTAGGGGTTAGTACGTGTTAAAATTTTAAACAATCCGGAACGGTGCTAGTTGTTGTCACACTTTTAGCGAATACTTCTCGGTGTGCTTTTATTTTTGAAAGTCAATGCTGTATGAACAGATAGATAGATAGATAGATAGATAGATAGATAGACATTCTTTCAGCAGAGGGAAAGGCAGATATGCATGTTTTATTTTATTGCCTTTAATAGATTCCTATGCTGGACTTATATGGTCAAGACGAGCAAATGAGGCGGAGCTTCGAATCCCACAGTAGTCGAGTGCTCAAGGCTGGGCTCATGAATATTAATGACGCAAGTAGACGCTCGACCAGTAGGATTCCGCGGCGTCATCATTGCGCATCAAAACCAGGAAGCGCAGAGGCAGAACAGTCGAGAACAGAGTGAACAGAAACACTGCAGAGTTTGAGAGCACTGGGAATATTTTACGGCGTTTTTAAAACAAGTAGAAATATCTTAGATTGTATTAAAGCCCCGAACGGTTTTTTCTGAAAAACGAAAACGACGCAGTGAAAGGTGAGTTTTATGTATGTTTACCATGCAACTTCATAGTTACTGTTACAGCTCTAGACAGATGTTATGATGCCTGTATACAGTGGGGCAAATAAGTATTTGATACACTGCTGATTTTTCAAGTTTTCCCACTTACAAAGAATGGAGCTACACATAATGCAATATGTATGATTTGCGAACAAATTTGTGTAGTGACTTTGGTTACACTTTATTTTAAGGTGTCCTTGTTACAGTGCAATTATACATATAAGTACTGAGTAATGTTAATTAATTACACATGGTTAGGGTTTGACTTAGGGATACTTGCATGTAATTATGCATAATTAATTGTTATTATAATAGTAAGTACATATAACATGTGTAACAAGGACACGTTAAAATAAAGTGTTATCGTGACTTTTATTATTCTTCATTTTTAAATGCATTTGTTTTGCATATTGCAGTACCAATGAATGCAGTATCCCCATTCATTTTGCAATAAAATATATATTCTATTCTTTATAGTTCAGTTCTATTCTATTTCCAAATGTAATGAGTTTTTATTAATACATAGATGTCCCAGGACTCCTCTACGCTGAGGGAGGAAGGAAACAACCATTTTAAAGCCGGTGATGTGCAACAAGCTCTCAGCTGCTACACCAAAGCTCTAAAGATCAGCGACTGTCAATCTGAGAGTGCGGTTCTGTACCGCAACCGAGCAGCATGCTATCTTAAACTTGAAGACCATACCAAAGCAGAGGCAGATGCCACCAAAGGTAAAAATGACATCTAGGATTTCACCTTCATGACCAATCTCATGTTCATCACTCTAACCGAGTCGTGTTTTTCATTCTCAAGCTTTGGACGTGGATCAAGGTGACGTCAAGGCCCGATTCCGTCGAGCACAGGCTCTGCAGAAGCTCGGACGGTTAGACCAGGCGTTTACGGACGCTCAGAAATGTGCACAGCTGGAACCCAAGAATAAAGCTTTCCAGGACCTGCTTAGACAGCTAGGAGCACAGATCCAGCAGAAGGTGGGTTGTGAGTGGTGCTTGTGAAGGAAAGCATCACTATTACGGTTTATGACCTGAAAACGAAGCCATATTTGTGTTTATATACAGGCAGCACAGCTCTCCTCCACAGACTCACGAGTTCAACAGATGTTCAAACTCCTTCTGGACAGTTCAGCGCCAATTACAGACAGACAGAAGGTTGGAAAGGCCACCTTTAAACTTAAAATTAAAATTTATAACATACAGTCTTTGAGATGTTCTCGGTTGGGTTTTAATCAGGCTGCTCAGAATCTGGTTGTGCTTTCACGGGAGGACGCAGGCGCTGAGCAGATCTTCCGAAATGATGGAGTCAAACTCCTCCAGAATCTTCTTGACTCCCAGCAGGAGGATCTGATCCTTTCTGCTCTCAGAACTCTGGTTGGCCTGTGCACCGGACACCAGTCAAGGGTGAGTAATGTCCCCTCACAATCAAGTTTATTATTTTAACCCAAAGGTCATCTTAAGTTATGCATATTGTTTTGTTTGTAGACCATGGCCATTGTGAACGAGGTGGGCATGGACAGATTGTGTGGCGTCATGGGTTCTGCTGCTTCCACCGTGTCTCTTTCAGCATGCCATCTGATCCAGGTGATGTTCGAGGCTCTTACGGAGGGCATGAAGAAAGAGATCAGAGGGAAGGATGAGGCCATACTGCCAGGTGAGACACCAGCCTTCACTTTGAGAGCTCATTTCAGTGACCTACTTTAAGCCCAGAAATAATTTCCAGCAGAGAATTTCTGTTCTACTTTTTTAAGACCGAGTTATGGCCGCAGGCTTATTATAGTTAACTAAAACTACTTATTTGAAATAAAATAAACAATAAATTAAATAAGTAAATACATTTGAAATTAAATAAAATATAAAAGCCTTTTTTATTTCAGCTAGTTGCCAAGGCGTAACTTAACTTGTACTAAATAAAAAATTAATAAAAACTACATATATATATATATACTGAATGTATGTATGTATGTGTACAGTGGGGCAAAAAAGTATTTAGTCAGCCACCTACTGTATGTATGTATGTATGTATGTGTATATATGCAGTATCTCACAGAAGTGAGTACACCCCTCATATTTTTGTAAATATTTTATTATATCTTTTCATGTGACAACACTGAAGAAATGACACTTTGCTACAATGTTTCCCCCTCAATTCTGTACATTTGGTGTGTGATTTGTAGGGCTTGTGCAAGCTTGGCTCCGCTGGAGGCACTGATTTCAGCATGAAGCAGTTTGCAGAAGGTTCAACACTTAAACTCGCCAAGCAGTGCAGGAAGTAAGTTTTGAGCTTTGCTAATAGACCAATTCGGCGTTTGCAAACAGTGATGACGATTTTTTTTTTGTGGGCGGAGCCTATCTGGTGGCAGAAAATTACCGTTTTCAAGTAGCGGTCTATGGAAGCCATGGAATAAAAACAGGCAAATTTAAATTTATATTTCAAAATTTTGACTTTATTCTCAATTCCGAGATTATATCTCACAAGGAAAATCAACTCGTCGTTCTCTCTTTTCCCCTCGGCTCAGAATCATGAGTTTATATCCCTGACTTCTGGCTTTTTTCCTCAGAATTGACGAACTCGCTATTGTTGAGTCAAATCGAGTCCATATAAACTTGCATTTGCAAGAAAAAGTCAGAATTGTGAGATGAAATGCATAAATGTTAATAGCAATAGGTAAAAAAAATTATTTCATGCTGTATCTGTAGAGCTAATACAATATGTTCCCTATGAACTGCATATGTGAATATTATGTAGACCTATTGTTTAAATCAAATTTATGCTTTAAAAGTAATCATAGCAATTTTCATCCATAGACAGTCTGTCCGTTTAAACGTCTGCCTATAGTTTAAAATGGCTTCTTTGACGACAGTTCTATAAAAAATTATTTGCAATCCGATTCTGACATCCAAAGGCACAAAAATAATTTATTTCTCTTATTCCATGGATTTAACCATTTCCCTCCACTTCTTACCAGTGACATAATCATGAAAATCTGACTTTTCCAGGTTTTAAGTGCTATAATCAGGTTCCCAGTGCATCTACCAACCAAGGAAACGTGAAAAAGATTAACTCAGTAACTTTGTTTTGGGAAGCCTTTTTCTGCAAGCGTCTGAGAATACGAGCGCATCTGATTTCGCTCCCTTGGTGACATGGCAAAGGGATCTCATTATAATATTACCGCCCCTTAATCTGTAAGTTTACACCCATGGCGCCGTTATTGTGTTTTCGCAAGCGACAACGGTGTACCAGCATAGCAACTAAATTAGGCTGCTGTCCCTTTAAAACCGAATCCACAGCTGCAGTGGATGCAATGTACTGATACACGTTCTCCCTACTGTTTAGGTTCACTTAAGACATAATCAACTGTGTTTACGTGAGTACTCGTCAAACGGACAATTCGACATAATTTTGTGTGTAATTCTCCGTTCATGCCACGCGAAAGAGTACTCGCGCGCTGTGAGATGCGCTTTCTGTGTGTGTATGCTTCAGTGTCTGCACTCAGAAAACCGCACCGAATTGAGTTCTCTCTTGCGTCATAAGATTTATCCATATGTCTGTTTTTCTCTTACTCCCACATATTGACATTTTTTTGAACGTTTTATGAGACATGCAGCAAGTGTATGTTAACTTATGTCCCGCCGGTTCATATGTACGTATCTAACGTACTCGTCAAACAGACAATTCGACATAATTTTGTGTGTAATTCTCCGTTCATGCCACGCGAAAGAGTACTCGCGCGCTGTGAGATGCGCTTTCTGTGTGTGTATGCTTCAGTGTCTGCACTCAGAAAACCGCACCGAATTGAGTTCTCTCTTGCGTCATAAGATTTATCCATATGTCTGTTTTTCTCTTACTCCCACATATTGACATTTTTTTGAACGTTTTATGAGACATGCAGCAAGTGTATGTTAACTTATGTCCCGCCGGTTCATATGTACGTATCTAACCTCCGAACCACGCAGCAGATTAGTTCTGAACGAATCTCTTCCCAAATCATCCCTCCCTAATATTTTCGCCTCGTTTTTATTCGTTGACGAAAATGTCAATAAATATTCGTCATAGTTTTTGTCATTCATAAAGAGTTTTAGTTCGTTATCGTCTCGTTGTCGTCTGTGAAAAAAATGTCGTTGACGAGAATTATGACGAAAATTATTACTGATCTAATATAAACATGAGATTTATTTCCCAGCTGTTTACCTTCACAGACATAACCGACTGTTTTTGTAACTCATGTGATTTTAACGTAAACTTGTGTGTGTGAAAGAGAACTTAGTTTAGTACTCGCATGCTGTGACAGCCACTTTCTGTCCGTGTGCTTCGGATGTGTGCGCTCAGTAAACCGTATATCAGAAATTTAAACTCATATGGTTTAAAACGCATGATATCAGCGCGATAAACATGATGATCAGAACCAAAACAGGTGTTTTTAGCAGGTACGAGCTGTAATGGCGCAGCTCTATTCTGGAAAAGGGGGCGGGGAGCAGCAGCTCATTTGCATTTAAAGAGACAGGCCCGAAAAACAGCGTGTAATAGGCATTTTCAAAATGATATAATAAATGATCTGTGGGGTATTTTGAGCTGAAAGTTCACAGACACATTCTGGGGACACCAGAGACTTATATTAAATATTGTAAAAAAGGACATAATATGTTTCCTTTAAGACAAAGGTTTTCATACTAATGTTAGGAGGCTAAGAAAAGATTTAGCAAGAGATCTCAAAATTAACATATTAACTTCCTATGTGACCCTGGACCACAAAACCAGTCTTAAGTCGCTGGGGTATATTTGTAGCAATAGCCAAAAATACATTGTATGTGTCAAAATTATTGATTTTTCTTTTATGCCAAAAATCATTAGGATATTAAGTAAAGATCATGTTCCATGAAGATATTTTGTAAATTTCCTACCCGTAAATATATCAAAACTTAATTTTTGATTAGTAATATGCATTGCTAAGAACTTCATTTGGACAATTTTAAAGGCGATTTTCTCATTATTTAGATTTTTTTGCACCCTCAGATTACAGATTTTCAAATCAGCTTTCAGATGATGTATAAATCTAAATTTCGAAAATTCACCCTTATGACTGGTTTTGTGGTCCAGGGTCACATATGTTTAAGGAAAATTGTTTATTTATAATAAATATATATTTTTATTAATGTATTATCTTTATTTATTATTTTGTGAATATGTAAGAAATTGTTTTATTAATTAATGTACAATTTTATTATTAGTTAAATATTTACTATTAACAAATTATTTGATTTATTAATTAATATATTACTTACTAATATCCATTACTAAAATGTTGTTAATATTATATATTGTTTTATATATTATATTTATATTGCATTATTACAGTTTAAAAGATAAAATAAATATTTTCTGTTATTTGTATGTATAATAAATTATTTAATATATTAATTTATATATTATTAATGCGTATTATTATTATTATTATTGTCATTTAGTTATATTTATTTACATTTTTAAATATATTATATTATTTTTTATATGTTGATATTATATTATTACATTGAAAATATGAACAAAATATAAGAATATGTAATATATATTGATCTATTATACATCTTTATAATGTCAATATAAAATGTCTTGTAGACATGAAACATTATACATTATTTACACATCTATATTTTATTTGAATATTTAATAAATTATTTAATGTATTGATTTATATGTTATTAATGATTATTATTATTATTTGGTTATAGTTATATACATTTTTTAAATGTATAACATTATTTTATATATTATATTTATGTTGCTGATATTACATTATTACATTGAAAATATGAACAAAATATAAGAATATGTCATATCTATTGATCTATTATACATCTTTATAATAGCAATATAAAATGTCTTGTAGACATGAAACATTACACATTATTTACACATCAAAATATATTTCTTCCTATATTTTAAGATGGATATATATATATAAATTTTGCCTTATATTTTAAGAAAGAGGTCTGTCACAAGGGGATCATCATATTTGGGTAGTTTTTATCAATCAAAAACTCTGCTCATATTCAGCTGGTATTCATATGCAGTACCAGAAGCATTTAAATCTATGCAGATGTCTTCGTTTTACCCTTTTAATTTTGCAGCTGCAGCAAAAGCTAATTTAAATGTTTGTGCCTATGTAAAGCAGACCTCTTTAGAGAAGCAGAATGATCTAAAATTGCAAATGTGTACATGCAGGTGGCCTTCAGCTGTCTTTCTTTCCCAGGTGGCTCTGCAACGAAGCTCTTCCCCTAACATCCCGGCGATGGGCTATCGAGGGTCTGGCATACCTCACGCTGGACGCCGATGTGAAAGAGGACCTGGTGGAGGATAAGAAAGCCCTTCAGGCCATGTTTGAGCTGGCTAAGGTATCGCCTTTCTCTCTGTTTTGGAGATTGCCGATAATGCTAATCGTTGACATCTATGCAACTCCCTCATGTTCTCATTTTCTTTGCAGTCTGAAGACAAAACAGTGTTATACGCAGTTGGATCGACGCTGGTTAACTGCACCAACAGCTATGATGTTGAGAAGCCAGACCCTCAGATGGTGGAACTAGCTAAATATGCTAAACAGCACGTACCTGAGGAGCATCCAAAGGTAAGTATGACAAATACGATGAACATGTTTGTTAAAAATGAACATGCTTTCTCTGTTTGCGTAATCTTATGTCATTTCAAACCCGTATCACTTTCTTTTTTTTTTCTGAAGAACACAAAAGAAGATGTTTAGCAGAGTGTTCATGCTGCTCTTTAAAAGCATATGGTGAACAAGTTCCAAAAATCACCATCAATATGACTTATTGGCATCTTCTGAAGCCACGCTTTAGTTGTGTGTGAAAACAGACCACAAATGCAATAATTAATGTTCTTTTCTGTCCTTTTGTTATGGAAAAAGGAAAGTCACCGGGGTTTGAAACAACATGAGGGTGAAGAAATTTAATTTTTATATTACAGTGACTACAGTAATGTCTCATCATGTTTTCATGTAGGATGCTCGGTCGTTTGTAGAAAAGAGAGTGGTGAAGCTCTTGGAGGCCGGGGTGGTGTCAGCGTTGGTTTGTATGGTGAAACAAGAGAGTCCCGCCCTCACAGAGGCCTGCAGAGAGTGTATCGCCAGGTCTGCTTTCAGTTTGATCACGTCTAGAAATATTCTGAAGCACAATCAATTTGAAAAATTCTGGCCAAATTCAAAGGCTGCCACGGTAAAAGTAATTGATCTGCACTCCAGTTTTGGCCCTTTCCCACTGCTGGCACAACTGCTGTCCCAAATTCAGATTAAGCCTTGGATCAATTTGTTCCTTCAGGGGAGATTGTTTGAAAATGGATTTCAGTGTGCAAAATGGTTATTCTCTGTCCAAGGAAATAGTCCTTTTATCAGATTAAATAAAGTCTCTCTTCCTCTCCCTGACAGGGTGATTTTGGCTCTGGTGGAGAGACAGGAGGACAGAGGGTTAGTTGTGGCACAAGGAGGAGGAAAAGTAAGTATATTCTTCATCTCGCCTGTTGAGTTTCAGAATGAGAACATTTCACACCATTAATTGAATGTACATTACCGTTCAAATGTTTGTGATTGGTAAGATTATCAATAGTGCTGGCAAATGATTAATCGCATCCAAATTAAAAGTTTGTTTACATAATATATGTGTGTATACTGTGTATATTTATTTTTAGTGCTGTCAAACGATTAATCGCATCCAAATTAAAAGTTATTGTTTACATTATATATGTATGTGTACTGTGTACACACCCATACGGTATATATTTTGAAAATATTTACGTGTTTATATATTTATATATTCTTATATTTTATATTATATGGAGAGACAGGAGGACAGAGGGTTAGTTGTGGCACAAGGAGGAGGAAAAGTAAGTATATTCTTCATCTCGCCTGTTGAGTTTCAGAATGAGAACATTTCACACCATTAATTGAATGTACATTACCGTTCAAATGTTTGTGATTGGTAAGATTATAAATAGTGCTGGCAAATGATTAATCGCGATTAATCGCATCCAAATTAAAAGTTTGTTTACATAATATATGTGTGTATACTGTGTATATTTATTTTTAGTGCTGTCAAACGATTAATCGCATCCAAATTAAAAGTTATTGTTTACATTATATATGTATGTGTACTGTGTATATTTACTATGTAAATAAATACACACCCATACGGTATATATTTTGAAAATATTTACGTGTTTATATATTTATATATTCTTATATTTTATATTATATTTAATATATAAACATAACATATTTTTCTTAAATATATACATGCATTTGTTTGTATTTATATAAACATAATAAATATACACAGTACACCCTCATATATTATGTTTTATTTTGGATGAGATTAATCGCGATTAATCGTTAATTAAGTTTAACTAAAAATAACAAAATCTGTTTTTATTAAATCATATTTTATATGTAAAATGAATGAATATGTGAAATATTTGACTCAAATAGTTTAATTAACAGATTAACAAAACGAAAGGAAAAGACTGAGATGATGCTGAGTTTGGTTCACAGGCTATTTGTGTGGCGCGGCGCTCTATGAAAGTCCACAGAAAGGAAACCGAGATGACAGAAATAAAAGTAAACACATTGCAGTTTCGAATGATCTGTATGACAATCAGACCAAAGATGACGGAATATTTTTTGGTTGTTTGTTTCCGCTGTTCGATCACGCCGGCGCCTCACGCACACACAGCATTGCAAACAGAATAAAATACAGTCAACCAAACATATAGATACACTGGTTAATTTAAATAGTGCGTACTGCGTAGTAGCTACAATCTGTGCCGTTCAGCCTGAGCTCGGGCCAAAGACACATTTGCTCATGTGACGAGGATGTTTTTTAAGTGCGTTATAAGCCTGGTTTACATAATAAATATTAGTTTAGCATTCAAATACATCGCAAATATGTGTTTTTTTATAGACAGCAGCTTCAAAAAAGGCATATTTTAGATTTTTCTTTTTCTGTGGTATAAACTTCTCATATGCCACTGTTATGAGTGATATAACTTTAATGCCAACTGCCAAATATGACACTTACAAATTAATACAATTTATGAACGCACGTAGAAAAGAGAATAAAAAGGGATTTTTTAATTCTTTAATTTTTTTTATTGTATTTTTATAAAAAATCCATTTTTTCTGACCATCAAGTGTCAGTCACTCTCAAAGCCAACTGGCAGGAAAACATGGTAAATTCAAACCATTTTTTACAATAGATAAATTGCCGACAATTCATACAACTTTCCACACAGTGGCATAGCAGACGGGCATGCACTGCGGGGGGCCCCGTGATAACCTCCCCGTGCTGAGATGCGTCGTATCATGTGTCGACGATAGCTAGAGATATTGTCAAAACAAAGCATCAAAAATTGGCAATATTAAGAGGATTTAGCATTTCCAAGTAATGTAGGCCTCTTACATTCTTCTTATTATTAGGCCTATTATTATTATTAGGTTACTTTTATTATTAAATTACATGAAATTATATATATTATAGCAATAATTTCATAGTGCATTACCGTATGGTGCGCTGTGAGGATAATTAAAATTTAGGCTATTAGCTTGGGCTACTCCTCATTGAAGATGTTTTTTAAAAGTTTTTTTTAAACAGGTCTTTTAATTTATACAATTGAATTATAGGCCTATAATTAAAATTATTAACACTGCAGCCATCAATGAAAATTAAGAGCAACTTTATTTCATGCACAGATTTTCAAAAACAACCTGTTTAACCCGAAATACGTTTCTTCTCATGTTTTTCACTATACGGGCCACAAGATAAATATTAAGGGAATAATTTAAGACGGTTATATAGCCTACCATCATCAGCCTATATTGAAGTCATTTAGTCTCTTGTTGTCTCAAAGAATATGTGCCGTTAATGCAGCGTTAGAAAGCGCCGTCAGTTTTTTTACTTTCACTTTCTCTATAGTGAATTGACTGACGTTCACCAGCATAACGCTTGCGCACAGTTTGCGCGTTGCTTGCTTGTGCAGCTTGACCCCTCCCCCATAATATCAATCTTTTATAGGCCACATATTAGGCACATTTTTTTTTTTATGTTTATTTTTCAAGTGACACCAAAAATACGGGAACATCATTAGGAAATCCTTGGGGGGGCTGTGCCGGGACTAAGCATGTTTCTGATGGGCCCCGTCAAGCGCCGCCACTGATTAGCCTAATTCGTTTTGGCTTGTTTAGCAACTTATTTTTTTCATTCTTGTTTTCTTTTGAAACGTAGACCTACCACATTACCCTCCACTGGGTGTAGAATGAGCAGCAATAAACTACATTTTGGCATTTTATAATACTTCTGTGGATATTTTGGTGAAAGTAACTCAAAAGTAGTGTACCGCATTACAATTCAGAGAGAGTAATATTGTAATGTAACTAATTTTTGTAATGTAATGTAAATAATTTATTACATTTTGGAAGTAACTTGCCCAACACTGGCCACAGAACAACCCAACCATCAAAACCACATTTCAATCCCACAGGCAGAAGATCATCAAGGAGAAAGCTGTGCCTAAAATAGAGGGCTACATGTTTGAGGATCACGACATGGTCCGTGCTGCTGCCACGGAGTGTATGTGCAATCTGGCATTAAGCACTGAGGTACATCACATGACACTGACAGTATGGGTTTTTGGACCGGACTGTGCTCTAAATCCTTCTAGAAAAGACTGATTTTGTGGTTTTCTGTGATGCATCAGGTGCAGAAGTGTTACTTGGCTACAGACAGTGACCGTCTCAAGCTTCTGGTGCTCTACAGTGGTGAAGATGATGAGCGGCTGAGGAAGGCTGCGTCAGGCACGCTGGCCATGCTGACCGGAGAGATGCCCGAGCTGTGTACACGTATTCCTGACACAGTGAGTACAGATTTGAGTCTTACCTGATTAAGAAATCCTCACATTCTTCATCTCAATTCACATACTCTTCTGTAGACAAGCCACTGGCTGGAGATCTTCCAGGCTCTGCTGCTCGGTGAAAGTCAGGACCTGCGGCATCGTGGGGCGGTCATCGTAATGAACCTCATGCAGGCCGACAAAAGTCTGGCAGAGAAACTGATGGAGAGCGAGGCTCTGGAGATCCTCTCTGTCCTGGCTAAAGGAGACGATCCCAAACAGGCCTCCATTCAGAAAGCCGCCCAGCGCTGCCTGGATCTGGCTACTGAGTACGGCCTCATTCGGAGCAACGAGGACGGAATCAATGGTAAAACCATGTGATGCAGTATAAGGGAGTGTTTTTTTGGTGGTTTAAAGCCTTGTCCGCTATGGGTAAAAACATAGCACACATTTCATACTGTCTACAGAGACCAAATATTAAGTTTATTCACTTCCATTCCGTCACGTGCACTCAATTTATTTTACATGCGCATTCCAAAATATACTTTTATTAATTCCCCTTATATGTGTGATGAGCGCACATTGAAAGTATTGATCATATTTATGCTTTGGCACATTTGTGTGATATCATGTATATTCAGGTCTTAATTGTTGAATGTGAAATTATGTATTCTGGTTTTATATAAACACTAGTTTTGTTTCGAGTTTGGTGGTCTTGTTTTTATTCTTGTTTTTGTTTTGAACAGTTAAGTAGATTTGGTTGGGTTTAATAATTCTGACTTTCCACACTGTTCTGCAACTACCAGTCATTAAAAAAAATATCTAAATAAATAAGTGGAATTTGTAAAGATTTATTTTATTTTGTATAACCTTTGTCTCTGACATGAGAGTTGGTTGACATTTGGTGACATTTTGCTCAGAGTACACCTACTATTTTATGTTTTATAATAGGTAAAATCCATAATTGTTCAATTTTGTGAATGCTGATAATTAAGATGGGTTTTAAAAAAACGTTTCCTTTTTAATGCCTTTTCATATTTAAAAGGGCAAAAACATTAATTTACATAAAACATTTAATTAAATATTTTATTGTGTAAAAAAAACCCATTTTAACTGCTGCTTATTAACAAAACAAATATATCTGATATTTTCAGTGGGCTCACTTTTGATGTATTATGCTAATATGTGCATATTTAACAAAATGATAAAATATATATATAATTTTTTCAGGACTTTGAAGCACATTTTAAAAGAACAGTATTTATTTGAAACAGAATCCTCTGATAGAACGTCTTTACTCTCGCTCTTGATCAGTTTAATGCGTGCGTGTTTAACAGTATTTAAAAAAAACCTGACCCAAAACCTTTGAACAGTACTGTATATTAAGGATTAAAAAATGGATAAAGCGAAACAGACACAAAACTACAAATATCGTTGACACAAACGGCATGAGCCCTCTCACTTTCCATACAATCCACCGCTGTGTCACATGACTCCCCGTGACCAATCAGACACGTTCAACGCGTGCCAGCACAAGCATGAGCGAGCGGCTATATATTATTCTAGTACACGCTAGCGTTATTTGAATGGGAAAATGGTGTATACAATGTAATGAAACTATGGTTGATTGTACCGTTTTCACCTACACTAACGAGGACTTTATAAGCGATGTTTGTTGTGGACAGCAGACCAGGTCGAGATTTGACATGGCGCTGCGGTGCGGATGGACAGAGAAGAGAAACGCCGGTCTGTTCCGGTATCATCTGGACGAGCTGGAGACCCGGATCCTCCCCGGACCGTGTGCCTACATCGCTCAGCTGAACATCATGAGGGGCGTCGAGAGACGAAAACCTCAGGAGATCCTGAGCGTCCGCCAGAACTTTGACCCGCAGCAGTTCAACTTCAACAAGATCAAGCCAAAAGAGCTGCTGTTTGAGCTACAGAAAGACGCTAGACGCCATCAAAATGGTTCAAAAAGGACGTGCCCCATTTTAACTGCTGCTTATTAACAAAACAAATATATCTGATATTTTCAGTGGGCTCACTTTTGATGTATTATGCTAATATGTGCATATTTAACAAAATGATAAAAGTCTGGAGTTCACGAGATTTTTGGTAAATGAGAGACTTTTTTTCGAAAAACAAAGCAATTTAAGATATTACTATTTAAATATATTTTTTATATATTCAGGAGCCATTACTCTAGTGTTCAGTGCCACATGAACCTTCCTTTCTTATTAGTATCAGTGTTAAAAGCAGTTGTTCTGCTTTATATATATATATATATATATATATATATAATTTTTTCAGGACTTTGAAGCACATTTTAAAAGAACAGTATTTATTTGAAACAGAATCCTCTGATAGAACGTCTTTACTCTCGCTCTTGATCAGTTTAATGCGTGCGTGTTTAACAGTATTTAAAAAAAACCTGACCCAAAACCTTTGAACAGTACTGTATATTAAGGATTAAAAAATGGATAAAGCGAAACAGACACAAAACTACAAATATCGTTGACACAAACGGCATGAGCCCTCTCACTTTCCATACAATCCACCGCTGTGTCACATGACTCCCCGTGACCAATCAGACACGTTCAACGCGTGCCAGCACAAGCATGAGCGAGCGGCTATATATTATTCTAGTACACGCTAGCGTTATTTGAATGGGAAAATGGTGTATACAATGTAATGAAACTATGGTTGATTGTACCGTTTTCACCTACACTAACGAGGACTTTATAAGCGATGTTTGTTGTGGACAGCAGACCAGGTCGAGATTTGACATGGCGCTGCGGTGCGGATGGACAGAGAAGAGAAACGCCGGTCTGTTCCGGTATCATCTGGACGAGCTGGAGACCCGGATCCTCCCCGGACCGTGTGCCTACATCGCTCAGCTGAACATCATGAGGGGCGTCGAGAGACGAAAACCTCAGGAGATCCTGAGCGTCCGCCAGAACTTTGACCCGCAGCAGTTCAACTTCAACAAGATCAAGCCAAAAGAGCTGCTGTTTGAGCTACAGAAAGACGCTAGACGCCATCAAAATGGTTCAAAAAGGACGTGCAAAGTCATTATAAACGTAAGTCCGTTGGAATTCGGTCACTGTCTGCTCGTGCCAGAACCGGACAGGTGTCACCCACAGGTACTGACACCTCTGGCGGTCCAGATGGGGATAGAATCGGTTCTGCTGAGCGCTGATCCAGGATTCAGAGTTGGGTTTAACAGCCTGGGTGGTTTTGCTTCAGTCAACCATCTTCATCTTCACGGCTACTACCTAAACCACCAGCTGAGGATCGAAACCTCCCCAGCAGATCCGATCCTGCCTAAGAAAAACTTGTACCACCTTCTGGACTTCCCAGGAGGCTTTCTGTTCTATACTCAGGGTCCAAACCTGGATTTGACCGTCAATGCAGTTTGTAGTCTCACTGATATTATGGTTGATAGGAACATCGCACACAACCTCTTCATCACCCGAGGTTGCCCCCCACGGAGGGAGCGTGACCCGTCTGTGTCCCGGAATGGGGTGAGGGTTATCGTATGGCCCCGGCTGTCCTGTTTTGGGGCCAAAGAAGAGTCGGCCTTCAACGTTGCGTTGTGTGAGCTCGCCGGACACCTTCCTTTCAAAAACAGAGAAGACTATGAGACCGTCACTGAAGACGGAGTACAAGAAATCATCCGGAAATATCTGCTGCCCCAAGAAGAGTTCAGGGAATTGCAAAAGCATGTCATGAAATGTTAATAAATGAGAATTTTGAGCACAGATCTAAATATCCTGTCTCAAAATAAGGGTTTCAGAATACCTAATAAATGTTGATGTATTAGAAATGAAGTGCTGCTTAGATCAACCATTCATACAGTATTATATATATATATATATATATATATATAAATAAATTGTTTTTTTCATATACTCGTGTATGTTTTTATTTCATATGTGTGTGTGTATATATATATATATATATATATATATTTATATACACAGTGGTGTGAAAAAGTGTTGGACCCCTTCCTGTTTTTTTTTATTTTTTGCATATTTGTCACACTTAAAAGATTCAGATCATCAAACTATTTTTTACATTACACAAAGATAATGCAAGTAAATACAAAATGCAGTTTTTAAATGATTATTTATTTTATTAAGGGAAAAAAGCTGTCCAAACCTGCCTGGCCCTATGTGGAAAAAGTAATTGCCCCCTAAATCTAATAACTGGTTGTGCCACGCTTTGCAGCAACAACTGCAATCAAGTGTTTGCGATAACTTGCAATGAGTCTTTCACATCGCTGTGGAGGAATTTTGGCCCACTCTTCTTTGCAGAATTGTTTTAATTCAGCTACATTGGAGGGTTTTCTTCTTCTTCTTATTCGTTTTTTATTGGCGGCTCGCAATCACCAATTGAGCATTACCGCCATCTACTGAAGCAATGGATCAGAGACTTGAATTCCCTTCTCCAGACCTATCAGAACTCAAGCTTTCGATGTTGCTGCGTGTTCAGCTCCTCCATCTACAACCGAAGTCCCTCTCAGCCCAGAGAATAGGAATAGGAATAACAATAATAATAATAATCTATATTCTATGAATTAACTGAGTTCTTTTTAGAAATTGTATTAACAGACTATCACCTCCTACTGGATTCAAAATCTCTTTTAACATTACTTGCTGCTCACCGTTTTTTTGAAGTTCATCGATTAACTTACTTCTCTCCTTCGTATATCCATTACACTGAATAATTACATGTTCTACAGTTTCTCTAACTCCATACCAATCACACAGTCCTGTTGAATGTTTCCCTATTATGTGCAATGTTGAATTCAGCCCTGTATGTCCCAACCTTAGTCTTGAAAGAACACAATCTTCCTTTCTTCTCCCTCTTGAATTCCTTCCTCTACCTACCATTGGTTGTACTGAATGTAGATGTCTGCCTTTTAACTCTTTATCCCAAAACAATTGCCAATTTGTATTTATCCCCTTTTTAATTATTGACTTAAGTTCACCTTTACTATACAGAATTTGCATATCTATATTTACCTTTGTCATTACTTGTTTAGCTAATTGGTCTGCTTCCTCATTCCCTGCCACTCCTGTATGTGCCGGAACCCACAAGAATTGAACCTTCCTATTTATCTGCTGCAACATATATAATAACTGAAGGATCTCCAAAACAATATCTTGTCTAGTTTCAGACTGTTGAGCTTCCAGGCATAATAAAGCTGAACTTGAGTCTGAACATACTAATGTTTTATTTATCCCCATTTCATATATTTTATTCATTGCTATCAAAATTGCTAGCAACTCTCCTGTAAATACTGACACATGATTTGATATTCTTTTCCCTCCTGCCACTTTCAACCTTGGAATAACATACGCTACTCCCACCTGACCATTCTACCATTCTGTGGATGCATCTGTAAAAACTTGAACATACTGTTCATAATTAATCCCAATATATTGTTTTGTCAATTCTGCCTTTCTGCCTTCCTGCTCTTTATCTTGTCTTGCTTCCAATAAG